CAAAACCATCCAGTTTTGTATGTCGTTAGCAAGACATGGTAATTGTGGGCGGATGTTTTCCACAATGACATGGCATGACAGGGCCTAATGCTCCACAGGCTGGATGCTTTCCTGGATGACAAAGAGAGGAGCACGGGTGCACGCAATCGGGGTATTTGACATTACATGGGTTTCCACAACTGAATGGAATGAAACTGTCCGATGATGGGTTCGTTAGTCTCCCGCACCAGCAGGTGAATTTCGAGGGGAGCTTTGAGTGTTCGATATTACATGCGGGACATCGCCACTTTTTCCGCTCAGTAGTTGATGAACCTCGAATAGCCCAATCGCGAATACATTCGAGATCGTAGACTCTGTAACAGTTTTCACATGACCATATCTTAGAGTGGCGATCGATTTCACAGGTGCAAACCAAGCATATGTATGATCCTTCGTCTATTTCTTGCACAATGGTAACAGATAACGACTCGTCTGGAGTTTCTTCCTCGTCAGATTCTTCCGTACTCAGTAAAGAAAGAGTATCAGGTTCTTCATTATTTGTGTTTTTGTCCAAGGAACGTACGTCACTATCTATTGGAGATCCCTCAGTGGCAGCACCTGTAGCTTCTTGTGTATCTGGTATAGACGACGTTGTACTAGACGGTAGAGTCATTGCAATAAGAAATGAGAGTAATGATGGCAAATCGCAATTACATTTATTTTTTTCAAATCGCGCTAGGCAGATCATATGAATAGTTCCGAAACTTTGACAAAGATATTCCGTTACTCTTTTCTTCCTCAGGAAAAATCAAATGCTAAATTCATTAAACAATCGTAGTATTTAAGCGATACCTATAAACGAACATTATGTTGAGGCCACACTTTAAATTATGCAAAACTATCCTATTCGGACGCTTCGTCTCTTGAAAAAGTTCATCACTTTTCGAGCAGCACTAGCTTCTTTGCCATTAGCATAGACGCCATTACCACTGGAGCCTGACTTTCTTGATTGGGACGATTTATGTGAGGATGATGATTCGACCCTTTTCTGCTCTTTGTTGTTCACAGGGGTACCCACATTAATATCATTAGATGGTTCTAAAACTTTCCGTGATGGAGCTGAAGCCACATCGCTTGATGAGTTATTTGATGAGCCTCCATAGAATGACAAAATGCTGAATCGGTTACGCCGTTTTTGTTCCTTCTGGTCCTTGTGATCCTTGGAATCTTTCGATTCCCTGTTCTCTTTGTTTGTCTCGCCCCTCGAAACTACTTCTTGTGTTTTTCTTCTGTGATCTCTCATTTCGCTTCCGTCGAAAATCTTATGTTCCGATTCATTTGAGTCTTTATCAACTTTTTCAGATACTTTGACTACCATTTTCTCTTTCGGCGATTCTATAGGCAGTGCAAAAGTAGGCAGCTGGTCAATTTGGGGAGTGGTTTGAGGTGGTTGAAGATTCGTGTCCAACTTCGGAATTCTTTGTGGTTTTGACACATTATCTTCGGCGTATTGGCGAATAGGGCTGTGCAGTTCTGTCAACTCGAGAGCATCTATCTTGTCTTCCAAGTAGCTCAAAACTGAGTTTCTTTTGTTCTCATGCAAACTAAGATCAGAGGTCAAAACGCCATTAACGTTTATCGGGGTTACAACTGAATCTCGCCTATTTGCATTTCTCGATTTTGTTGTGACAGTAGTCTGAGAACCAGGACTTCCATGTACAGCTCTTTCATACATCGAAGAAATAATATCATCACTCTTAGTAGGAGAGCCGGAAATGAACTGAGGAACGGAAAAATTAATCGGCAGACCAATCTTAACGTAATCAAAGAAATTTGAAGAGGATCCATTTCCTAGAGACATAAGTGATGTCATCGAACCTGGATGATAAGACGTAGGTCTAGGTTTCTTGTGTGATTGAGGTAACTTCGCTGTGTCCTTAGGGGGTTCGTTGAACTTGCTTCTGACCACAGCTGGATTAATTTGTACACCCTTGCTATCTGGTGGTGTCGGACTTTCAACAATGGTGGAGATTGTTCCGGTGTAGGTTGTCGAACGGGGTATTTGAGAGGGAGAAAAGCTCGGGGGTGTATCATGAGTACTTTCATTCTCCACAGAGTTCTGTGCCTTCCGTTCGTGTTCTGACACCATTGCCTTTAGTGCAATGCTGGCAGTCGGATAGGTGCCAGACATTGACGCAGACTTTGAATGACCTCTAGCATAACCTAACTGGCTCAGTTTCACAGGAGAACCGCTTTCAGTAGAAGTTTTGGAAACATTGGATGACACAGTTGATGTTGAATTACCCATAATGGATGATGCAGAAGCTGCCAAATTTGTATCACTTGAGTTTGTTAGAGCAACAACATTAGCAAGAGATGATGAGGTTGTAGGGTTCGAATAAATGATGTTGGAGTTGGAGGTGTATGATCTGCCATTAGTATTCTTATTGGAACCCATCATCAAGGCTGACGAATTGGTGGTTTCATTGAACATTGAAAAACGCTTGTACTTGTTTCCCTTGTTCATTGATTGTGCCACCGACCATTTCTCCCGATCTTCCGTGTGGACTTTATCCCATTCTGGTTGTCTGATGGACAAAAGATTAGCATGAGGAGCTAGCCATGGGTGATTTCTGATTTCATCAACTCCTATTCTTTTCTCTGGATTGGAAACAATGATCTTTCTTAGTAAATCTCTTGCAAGAGGAGAGACATATTCAGGAAACGTAAGGGGAGTGTTGCAAATGTAGTGATATAGTTTTACTATGTCAGCACCATCTTCATTCTCGCTGTCATCATCAAATGGGAGGTATCCTGCAAGCATGGCATATAAGATAACTCCCAACGACCAAATGTCCACTTTCCGTCCAGAATAAGGGCTTTGTGTGAGAACCAATTCTGGTGCAGCATAACACGGAGAACCGCATGAAGTTTTCATCAAGTCATTCTTGTCCTTATTGTACGAATTAACAAAGCCAAAGTCAGAGATTATAATATTTCTGTGTTTGTCCAACAATAAATTCTCTAACTTTAAATCTCTGTGTATTAACCCCTTGGAATGCATGTAGTCGACTCCACTAACCAACTGTGCAAAAAGTTTTTTGGCCACATTTTCCTTAAGGTACTTGTGTTGTAGAATGTAATCAAAGAGCTCTCCCCCCGATGCGTACTCTAAAACGATGCCAATATACTTGCCACTTTTCAAAACTTCAACAAGATTGACAATGTTAGGATGATTGAGTAGGCGGAGAGAGTTTATTTCACGGTGTATTTTGATTTCAGACTCAGAGTCCTTGACAATAGTGTCACGCTTTATTAACTTGATTGCCACTTGGCTAGGGTGTTTGCCATCTTTGCGCCAGCCCAATTTGACTTTCCCAAACTCGCCTTCACCCAAAGTTGATCCTAAGATGTAAGCGCCAAACCTAACTTCTCGGTGAACACGCTTACTGGTAGCAGATGAAACAGCGGGGGATGTAACTGGGACCAGCGTGTTGGAAGGGTGTTGCTGATAATTCATCAGTTCAACTGTTGTAGATGTCATGATGGAAGGAATGTGTGTCGAAAGGGTGCCAATAAATTTTTTTTAAGGAGAAGAAAGCAAATTATGAATTTTTGCCACTAGCAAAATGGGCCGCACAGTCCCTGGATAGTTTGACTCAGTTACGAGGTGCTCTGGCTCGTCTTGAGAAGGGGATATATAGATGCGCTCCAATCGGCGTTTATGCTTCTGAAGGAATTCTAAACTTTAGAACAGTTAAGAAACCGAGTGGGTGACTGGTTAAAACTTCTCTTCTATGGCCAAATACGTTTTGAAGCAAGGTGTTGAAAAGAAGGAGAAGGAGGTGGCGATATGGTTTTTGACTTGAGGAGGATTCATGAGCTTTTTTCCGCGTGCTTTGAGTCTTTCTTGTTTGTTGTGGAAACTCCCCGATGTGGTAGACTCGCTGCACAATGCGCAATATGTGCAGGCATTGACGATGAGTGATAACTCAACTAGTATATTCTGTGTTTCAGCCCCGCACTTTTTTCGATACTGAAGACTGCAATTGAGCATGCTGGTTCCAGAGTTGTTAATCATCGGGAATTGTGGAAATGATATCTAAATACAGAAATAAGTGGGGTTGCAAGTTCTCACAATTGATTACATCGTTACTTCATCTCCATGTTCTATTTACGCGAAACGCTTTGCACAGGAAGTTTCACACGAGTATCTGGTGGATCGATTGTGTGCCGAAAAACGTTCTCAGAACTCTTGGTCCAGGGACAAAGGGGTTATGTAAACTTCCCCTTATGCAGATTTTTTATCTATGTTTACAAGTTCCAGATTGGTTTCATCAATTAATATGGTAGCCTCAAACAGTAAAAAGGTCTTAGACTGGTACGCGACTCTTCCAAAAAATAATCATTTGACGGAAACGCACGAAAAACATGAACTGATACCAGCCGTATATGAAAAAAAATAAAAAGTTTATACAATTAATTAATAAATTTATAATAAATCTTGTTTTGTAAACAGACATAGGAGCAAACAGTTTTCATGAGCTGAAACTAACTCACACGTTTGCGTTTCGAGATGTTTCAAAATGTCGAACATGCTGATGCTTGTAGACTACTTTTTGTAAGCGCGCGTATTATGATACGCGTTTCCTCACATACGTTACCCTCATCTTTCATCACCAATGGTTTCCCGATCATCGCATTTAACGCTGGGCGAAATGCAAATGCTGATAATTTCAACAGTCAAAAACCCAATATCAACGAAAGAGCTCCTTGCTCGTCTTCTGAAATTGGCGGACATTCTATCTGCTGTTGACCAGAACACCGTTTCCCCCGACTCGTACAATCAGATCGCTCATGACTTGGCAAACAAAAAGCTCTTGAAGCATCAGAACATCGGAGTACAAGCTTTTGCATGTTGTGCAATTGCTGACATTTTGCGTATATATGCTCCTGATGCGCCGTATACTCCAGAGGAACTCTCGTCTATATTCACTGCCTTCTTCAACCAGTTTTCCCATCTATGGGATGAAGGAAACGCATTCTTTTTGCAGCAGAGCTATCTCCTCAAGAGGCTTGTCGAAGTCAGGTCCATAATATTAGTTGCGGACTTGCCTGATTCCCTGCGTTTAATTTCGTCATTATTCAAAACAATGTATCAACTCGCTTCCAAAGGTTTTCCAGCGAAACTTGAACCTATTGCAGCAGATATGTTGTCTGAAGTTATTGCAGAGACAGAAAGTATTCCACAAGACGTCGTTTCACTCATCCTTAAGAGACTTACAGTCCCATCACAATCTGGTTTAACCGGGTCGTTATCCAATATTTCGAACTCGGGATTTGCCTTTTCTTTAGCTGTGTGTGAAGTTAATGTAGACAAGTTATCAAGGCTGATAGCGCAACTCTTTTCAGAAATGTTGGATGAAAGTGCAACGTCTACCGAATCAGGTGAAGTTAACTATGAAGCTTCCTACAAAACCTTGGAGAAAATTCACACTTGGTCCGTTCAAATTTGGCGAAATGCTCCAGATCTATTAGGATCCGTCATGGGACTAATCAATGACGAATTGAATTCAGATTCAGAAAAGATTCGTATTTTGGCTACTAGCACAATCGGCGAGATGATAGCCAGCTCATCCATGGGGTTTGTTGACAGTAATGTTGCTCACTTTATTAATAAGCATAGAAACACATGGAATTCCTGGCTCAAGAAAAATTCAGATTCATCTTACGCTGTGAGAGCAAAATGGGCTGAACAGGTTTCCTTCGTTATTTGTTCCCCGTCTGTGACATCTGATATGGCCAACGAACTTTGTAACGGTCTCACCAAATGTCTTCGGGATACGCACGAAAAAGTCAGGCTTGATGCTTGTAAAGCTGTCGAGAAGCTCCCATTCCATGTATTTACGAGCAGGGTATGTAACCACGAAGTCTTGACAACTTTACTACAACTTGTGAGGGAGAAAAATACCGATGTTCGCAATAAAGCTATCAAATTAACGTCAAATATTTATGATGAGTACTCCAAACAGGCGGCAAAGGATGAGATAACTGATTTTGGAAACTTGAACAGTGAGGAAATAACAGCGCTAGGGCGAATAATCTTGCACGACATCCCCAACACACTTCTAAAATTGAACTACATCAATGACAAGTCAGTCAATATCTCTGTGGATATCGCCCTTTTCGAACACTTGATCCCGTTTGAAAACAATGCGCTGTCCAGAGCAGATAGACTCTGCAACTTTTATGAAGTTTTAGACGAAAGGTCGAAAGCTGTTTTTCTGGCAACAATAACGCGCCAAACAAAGTTTTCGGAAGCTTTTCATCAATTTGTGAAAATTTCTGAGCAGCTCACGTCGCTGAAATTGGATGATGAAAACACGGAAGAAGTTTTGCTTCAAAAACTCGACAAAATCATTACTTGGTTTACAGTAAGCCTTCCTCCTACGCTCAATACCGTTGATTGTCTCGAGCGTTTTATTCACTTGAAAAATGCTCGGTTCAACAATCTACTCGCGAACTGCGTGCTGCCCGACTCCGATTACAAAACTGTGAAAAACTCCCTTAAAGAGTTATTGACAAGCTTAGGAGACCCTAAGATCTTGAGAATTTCTGATGATAGACTTCCAGTGAGCACGACAGATATGATAGCGAATATGAAAATATTGCTTTACAGGGCCTCCAACGTATTTTGCAATAAATCAAATGTGAGTGAGTTATTAAAACTTTCCTGTGAACCACAAAATACAAAGCACAAGGTTTCAAATGAGTTGATAAAAAATGTTTTCATCAATTTCACCGGAGGTTTTCAAGAATCACGTTCATGCGGTTTCAGATATCATTTTAAACAAAAAAACAGAAGTGGATATTTCATTTTTGCAATCATTTCATCATTTGCTCAAGAGATTCCCAGATAAGTTTCCGGAAGACTCTAGACTAAGAGAACAATTGCAAGATTTAGCCTTGAATGGAAGTCCTCTTCAGGCTAAATATGCGGTGAAAATTAGCGGATTCTCAGCAGATAAGAAACTCATTATTTCCAATATTATAGAAAAGATCATGCCATTGGATATAAATCATGCGGCATTCACCACAAGGTTGTCGTCTGTGGCAGAAATCTACCTCATTGACCATCACCCTTTAGATCAGTATTCCACTGCGATCAATTCACTAATTGCGGATGACATTTTACGCTGCAACAGAATGAGTGAAAATGATTACAAAACATACGCTTCTGAAAGCTGGGTTTCTGATGAGCATTTGTACGAAACTAGAAATCACCTATTATTGGAAAAGCTTTTGGCTTTGCGACTCATTTCTAACAGAATTAGAGCGATTGCTGAATCAAATAGCCTGAGTATCCTAGTTGACAAGCCATTGCGACTTTTAATAACTATTGTTTCCAATAGTGGGGAAATTGTGAAATCAAGTCAAGGCTTCCCTCCTACACCTATTCCTTTCCAACAGAGGCTTCGTCTTTTTGCAGGGACTTCGTTATTAAAATTGGCAAAGTTGCCTCGATTGGATTTGGTAATCAACTTTAGTGTAATCGCTAAACTTGAGAGGCTAATAATCGATGATTGCAAAAATGTTCGTGAACGATTTTTGAAGTCATTACAGAAATACTTGTCGAGGAATGCCATTTCTGAAAGGTTCTTACATTTAGTCTTTTTAGTGGGCCATGATCCTGATACGTCTCTCAAAAATAACGTGTTGACGTGGGTACGCTCTCTTCACAGCAGATACGAATCCAAATCTGAAACTACATTTGAGAGAGTGCTCGTCCGTTTAATTCATTCCATTTCTCATGATGAACGATTTGAAAAGTCGATATCGGTTCATGATGAGATACAAATGAATGTGGAGAAAGCGTATATATACTGCCTGAGTTTCTTGTCATTTTATTTGGAAGGAATCGCAAAAGAGAAGAATGTGTCACTACTTTATTATTTTGCGAGCCGAGTCAAGCAATACAGAGATTCGCAAGTGAACCAAGAGCTTTATCGGCTTGAAAATGTCCCTGATCAAGCCATGAATTTGTATCGGGTAGCCGAGCTTTGTCAGTTAATGATCAAAGAACTCGCAGATTCTAAGAACTGGAATTTGCAAACTTACCCAGGGAAAATGCAGTTACCCTCTGATATTTTCTCACCCATTGGGGATTATCAAGAAGCGCAACGTACAATCTCCAAGATATATATTCCAGATGAAGTACAAGTTGCTTTGCTTCAACATCTCCGGAAAATTATGGGAAGTCACTACACAAAACGTTCAGCATCAGTCAGGAAAGCAACTGCGAAAAAACCCAGAATAAATAATGGAAAAAGGAAGCAAGTAAGGAGAAAACAGCCCCTTGGAGGTGCAACGGATAATGAAAAGGATGATGTACCGGTCCCCATAAGACGAAGCAAGAGAGCCACAACAAAAGTTCAGTACCAAGAGTCAAGTGATCTTTCGTCAGAAGAGGAAGAAATTCCAGGTGAGATATAGTCAGAATAATGGTTCATATCTATTAAAAGTGCATGTATAACGTAGCTTTAATTTGCTCGATATCAAGATTCCATTTCTTTGAGTTGGTTTAGATCATTCTTCAGCTCAAAGTCGTCTCCCAATACCTCCAATCGCGTTGCAGCAGGGAAGGATTTCTCTTGACCATATTTGGCCCAGTCCCTTGAGAAAAGCTGTAAAATCTTTATGCCTTGCTTTCTCCATCTGTTGATAACCAGCTGAGCTGCAGCCTCCCACCAGTTACTAACAACAACATAGTGAACGTTTGACAAAAGTGATTTTTCAGTATTGAGCATTCTAGCAGCAAACTTCCATTCGGCATCCATGCTAAAGAATGCAAATTTAGAATCATGTTCTAGGCGTGCCATTACAGCCCACACAGAGCAAATACCTCCAATTCTTTCTTCATACTTGACTTCAGTTTCCCATTTGGACTCATGTCTTCTCCATCCCATCCGTATACGTCCTTCCTCTGTATCGATGGGACACGTGAAGCCGATGATTAAACAACATTTCTTAACAAACCTAGGGCATAAGAAATCATACAAACCCTCCAAATTATAAAGCAAATGCATACTGAGTCTAGCCAAAGGTAACGCCGCAGTGGGCTTCACGGTAACCTCTGTTTCAGCTTGAGAAACAATCGCTTTCGCAATGAAGTTTAAAATCCATTTGTATGCTAATTGATTGGAAGAGGTTTGTTTCACAAGCTCAACAGTTTCATGAGAAATCTGATTCAATTGAGTCATAGAGTTTGACAATTGTCCAAACTTGATATTGATTTTCCTTTTCAAGGCGTTAATATTTCGCTTCAAATCCTTGTCCTTATTCATGGGTTTGACGACTTCTGCTTTTATAGTCTCTATTTTTTGTCTGTAATAGACTAACTGTTTCTCAATCTCTTTGAAATCCGTAAGTCCTTTTGATTTACGGGAAGCAGATTCTTGTTCTTTTCTGATTTTCTCTTTCAACTTATTCTTTGTTTCTTCTGCTTTCAATCGCTCTGCTTCAGCCCTTTTAGCATCTTCTTCAGCCTTTCTAGCCTTTTGCTCGGCCTCGAGTTTGGCTTTCTCTTGAGCTTTTATTTGAGCCTCTTCCTCTTCCTTAGCTTTCTGTTTGAGTATCTCAAGCCTTTTTCGTTCTTCTTCCTCCTTAATTTTTATCAAACGTTCTTCTTCCTGTTTTTTCAATGCCTTTTGATTGTCAATGATGCGTTGCACTTCTGTTTGCAGCTGGTTCCACATCTTGTTGAATTCATCATCGATGATTGTATCAGACATAAGTTTATTCTTACGTTCGTTTTTCAAAGCTTCATTTTTGAGGTTATCACTTCTTTGTGTTTCTAGCAACTCGGCAAGGCGTAGGCTTTCTAGTTTTCGTATTGTTTCAGATAGAAGCCTTATTGGAGAATATGCTTGTGTCCTTTGAAGGGAATGCACTCGTAGGCCCCCGTCAGCTATCCTCTCATGGTGCAAATTCAGGATCTGTAACTCAGTATCTAAAGACAATCCAAACTTCATTGGATGGTCTCTTGTCTACCATAAATCTACATGTAAATGCTTGTATCGAGAAGATGTACGGATGTCCCGAGAAAGCAAAGTTGGAAGAGAAATTCACCAGACCCGATACTTCCTAGTTTGAAAAATTCAATAGCCCATATCTACACTTGCCATTTATTCATTCATTAAAAAAGTAATTTATACTATGTTATCTTGTAGGTGTAATGAATAAGTTACTTTCAATTACATTCATGCAGGATATAACTCCGAAACTGAACCAAAAAAAATCTCAAAATTTTCAGATTGTAAGAGAGCATTAAAAGCCACGATGAACAAGCTGTGGGCACGTCTCTTTTCGACTTCTAGGGCGGCCAGAAAGCCTGGATATTCTAGCGTGGAGCCAGTTCACCATCTTGTTAAGATCAAGAAAGCTGCATTGAGTCCCAAATATCAACCATTATTGATTCCTAAAGATGACATTGAGTCTATAGGTTTCAAACCAACAGAAATAAGTCAAGATAGAGTTACAGAACACTATTACAACACTTTGCAAAGTGACTTATTGTTGCATTTTTACGAGCATGAGGGCGAAGTAGTTGAAGGTGCAAAGAAGAGAGAGTGGGCTCCTGATTCTCCATATGCGTTGTATCGTAACTTGAAGAAGCCAAAAGGAGTTGGCCGTGCTACAAAGGACATCAAGCCTATTGGTCCACACAATGTACCAGAACTTACAAGTATTTCTATCAACTTGTACAACAAAGAAGCTTTGGAAGATTCGTGGCTTAACATTTCCAGCAGATTGCAGGTTGCGCAAATTACGAATGTCAAGGCAAAGCAGTTATACAACAGATCCAACATTTTGCCATGGAAGGTGAGAGAAGGCAAGCCTTGTGGCTGCAAAGCAGAATTGACAGGACGAGACATGACTCAGTTTTTGAGTACTTTGACAGAGTTGGTTTTACCTAGAGTGAGAACATTTCAAGGTATCAAGAATACCTCTGGAGACAACAATGGAAACATTACTTTCGGTTTGGATCCAGAAGACGTAAAGTATTTCCCGGAGATCGAAAATTTCCAAGAGTTGTTCCCAAACATTTTTGGTTTTAACATCACGTTCAAGACGACTGCGAGAACGGACGAAGCAGCAAGAACGTTATTGAGTTCTTTGGGAATGCCATTCTACGATCCAGCTTAGCTGCGATTACCTGTAAATAGACTAAACAGATTTCTTTCAAAAAGTACGGGATAGAGTGTATGCTTTGAGTAGTGAGATTCTCGCGAAGTGCGATGTTGTGGCCCCCGCATATTTTTTAGGCGCGACTGTCAGATTTACTTCAAATAATCCTAGGTTCGCTTGTTGTATTATGTCATTACTTTCTGTCGTTCACGACTTTAAAGCCCTTTACTCGACCAGAGTACATCAAAAAGATAAAAGATGGGTCGATGGTAGACTCCGATACTATGAGTTTAATAAGAAGATTGAGGTACTTTCTGAAGAAGGATCGCTTGTCATGAGCGACTTTTATCCACAGAACGCCAAGCCGCCATTAGAGAGTGGCGTATTCGAAGATGGGAATACGTATGTTCTACCGAGTGGAAAGATGGTGGTCGAATTTTCGGAGTACTTAGGTTGCACAGAACGTGATGTGTCTAAAGTGTTTTCCAATAAGCGGGTGAAGGAATTCGGTTCCCCTGATACATTCATACCTATGAGGCATATTGCTGCACCTCCCAAAGTCCTTATAAGACAAGAGGATTCTAACCTGGCGCTAACTTTGAATCCAGTAAGGCGGGTTGGGCTCGCCCGGCCGAAAAAACAAATTAAACAGCGGGACCTCTCTAGCTATATTCAGCCGATAAAGCTTACCACCGAACAAAAGCTAGCCAAATACTATCGGCCTTTCTCGAAGAACCCGAGGATCCCACCTGGCAGTAATAAACTCACTAGAAGATTGCACGCTGCGCTAGGTATACCTCTGTTCGAAACATAAGGGAAGGACCAATGGTATATTTGCGCCGTTCCAATTTTTGAGAGATTGAAAAGCTGTCTTGATCCAAGGTCGTAAGGTGTTCCTAATTATTTGGAATTGGTCTTCATTTCGTATTTGCCGCCTAATGCAGATCCGAAAAAATTTCAATGCGGTGTTACTTATCGAAAAAAAAATATTACCTGAAGAGACTAATTCCAATTCTCTATGGGGCGAGAACACAATACTTGCCTAATCTGGATTAGGTTTGAAGGCATGTTTTCCCAAACTGTCTTAAAAGAAATTCCGTTTGCATGAGGTTGACATCAAACTCGGTTCGGCATTCAACAAACGGACAACGATATGTAAGTCTCTTACATTACGAATACTTTGATACCTCATGAAGTTATGTGATGGCAGCTGCAAGTCAAGGAAGTGCCGTGAGAAAAATGAAGTGGGCCTATAGAACCATTATGCCGCTATCAATATCGAGATAACGATAACATGTGGCTCCTGCAAATTTCATATACGATAGCCCAATTTGAGACACTGCACACGTTGACAGCGTGCGGCATTTGGTTAAATGTCAAAAATGAGGGAATTGATTACAGGTTAGTCCGAGAGAGTGGCATTCAGCGAACACATATGCATGTGCAAAGGCTTCGTGAAATAATTAATTAAATTCCCCTTGGTCCATTATCTATTGTAACATGGGATTGTAGAAGGCTATTATGGATTGTCGGTCGTTACAAATGAGGCTGATAAAGGCGAATATCCCAACGTGGGCCCTAATAATGAGCACACGTGTAGAAGGTCACCACCGCACAGGACAGTGCATAGAAGTATGCACACCCTACTGATTACCGCAAGCTTCAAAAGTATGACTTGCATCTTCTTATAAGCCAGAACCTTTCGTTTATCTAAGTTTCAAGGGTTTAATCGATTTTCTTTTACCCATTACCAAAAGTTTTTAGACATTGAATTTTAGTCTTCTGAGTTTTGTGGCAGGTCAGCTGATCAAAAATATACGTTCCGAGCCTCCCAAGAAAACGATCTCGCACAAATTGAAATTTTCTGCTCTGGTGTGACATTTACTTGGCACTTTCACTACACTCTTATTACAAAGCACGGCTTTCTCCTTTTATTCCGGCCCTCAGTTCGATAGTGCCTATTATTTCATATTCTTGTTCCTTCCTAATCCCGGAGCATTTTGAAAATCTTGTCAATTCCGTTTCAGCTTCAGTTTCAAGTCCGTCGTTGATGGTCCGATATTCAGCTTCATGAGTTTGGTACTCTCTCCACAAACACTTGAAATGTCCACTACAACGTCAGCCTGTGCAACGCCCACTGTGGACACCATTCATGTTTCCCCACGTTTACGTCCGCCCCCGCAGAACTACCATGGTAGCTCTCGCGAGTCTAACGGCTCAGATTCGAAAAATACGAGAAACAAGTCCTTCATTCATCGCAACTTTACAAAACTGTGTCCTCTGATAGATCCGTTCCTTGCTCAGTACATCAAGTCACCAGAGTCTGATCCTACTCACTTTTATTTGAAATCATTAAACAAGCGTGGTCACATTAAGCACCCCTCTTTTTATGAGAAATATCTAGTGCATAGAGATCATGAGGCCCCAGCTCCTTCATCCCAGCTTCTCAAAAAGAGCTTGCTTGAGCGTAAACAGGTGTTTTCGCCAGTGCGAAAGAGCCCTATTGCACAAACATTGGATGTGAATATGACGGAGGATGATGCGAGCACTCCATCGAGGCGGCGCCGTTACACTGGAAGCGGCCCTTCTACTCCACAAGTTCCTACTAAAAAGGCGCATCCAAAGGTGATCACCAACTGTTTGCCAAAAGAGTTTATGCAATGTGACATTGACGATTTGGTTTGCTTGATATCCCGAATGCTTCAGTCACTTATCAACTTGAATGATCGCAGTGTACCAGAATCTATCGCTAATCCACGTGGTGGAATTTCGGATAAGATCCCAGAGCAGAGAAACAAGTTATTGACGAGGTATCACTCGCGCTCGCCGCCTGCCATCTCGATTCAGACCTACCTTGCTAGATTGACAAAGTTCAACAATTTTTCGCAGGCTACCTTACTAACTACCATCTACTATATTGACTTGTTGTCACATAACTTCCAACCATATTTCACCTTAAATTCATGGACTGTGCATCGGTTCCTTTTGGTGGCCACCATGTTGGCCCAGAAGGCTCTAGAAGACTTTTTTTACACTAATGATCATTATGCCAAAGTCGGTGGTGTTGCATTAACAGAACTCAACTGTCTAGAACTTGATTTCTTGAATCGTGTCGACTGGAAACTTGTTCCAGCAAAGCAAATCCTGAACAACAAAACCTCCATCAAATACTACAGAGAGGTTCTTGATTTGTACTATGTCCAGTTAGTGAATCTTATGGAAAGGAACACTTCGGAGCACACTAATGTCGTGTACACATTCAGCAATCTGGAACTGGACAAGGATTGAAGTGGCGGTATTTGCATATTCTGTTTTTTTATTCATTTTTTCAGGGTGACGGGTATTAGGATTGTCACCCCTGTCGGGTAATAAATTCGTGAGACTGGCCTCTCATGAAAGGCTTAAGAATGTACATGAAAATAAAATTTTCTTGTTTTTCCACTAAGTTTGTAACATAATACGCACTTGATATGTATCGTCTCTACTATCGAATTATTTAAGGATCTGGGATGATTCGAGTTCGCTAGGTTTGTCTCGAATCGATTTATTTGAGCTTGACAAAGGGGATTTGGCACCGCATTAATCGCACACGATGTCGCAGGCGATTGCCATTGCCTAATTCGGAATCGAAACTCCGCTCGCAATCGCTATGATACTCCAGCCGTTTGAAATGTGCTTTATTTGGCGGTGACAACAGAAGAGATAAGAGACAGTATGACTATAAGAATGCTCTAAATTCGTCTCTTTTTAACATCAAAAAACTAATCAAATCCCAATATTTCAACATGGCCGCTCAAACTACTAGTCAAAACCAGAACACCGCTTCTTCTGCTAACAAGGACCACCGTGGTATGAATGTCCACACTTCAAGAGGTTGGTACTTTTATAACTGTGTCATCGCTTGAGTTCGCTAAAAGACTATGACAGTTTGTTTCAATATTCCCAAAAAATGGAAAAAAAAAATAAAAAAAACTGGTATGTTCGTCGTGATGTTGCTAGCTGGCTAGAGGTATATACACAAATAGACGAAGATTACCAAACACAAGGCCACTGGCCTTTCTTTAAGAGAAAAATTGTATTCTAATAACCTAAATCAAACTAACTAACAGTAAATAAAAAAAACAGTCATGAGGGTCATAAGTATCAAATGTCAAGGATGGTCCGAACTCACAACTCCAAAATAAATCAACGCAAAAGTCACAGAATGAACCTACGATAAACATAAGCGTGTAGTCATTCCCAACGCTTTGAGAATATAGCGTCCACCATCTAACGCCTCTACTCATTCCATCAAGTCTCAGTCTACTGCGGTTTCAACAATTCGAAAGAGCAACATAAACTCTTATCAACGTTCATGACAGCGCCATAATTGTTAAACTCGCCGCAATAATTGGGGGCCAGAAAAACCGTTACCAATTTCCGTTTGTTGAAAAACTCATACCCATCTTCAACAACCATATGACCGCGCACAATCAAATCCATCTTGAATGTGCTCAAAAAATAATCGACGTGTTTCTTACCAAAACAATAGGAAACACCTCGATCATTCTTTGGCCAGTTGGTCAATGAAAACGATTTCACCAGAGGATCAGGATCAGACCATAATAGATCAGCCAAGAGACCCTTGTCAGGAATATCTGTTGGTCTCTGAATCTGTTCAATTTGCCTCATGTTATGAAGATCAGGGGAAAGGCCACCGTGGATGCAGAAAATTTTATCGTTGATTGTAGCTGCCAAAGGAAGAGTATTGAACACATCAACGAAATTTTTCCATAACTTATGGCTTCCTGAAATGAGAGGTAAGCGTCTCTTGCACTCGTCATAAAAGCCATAAATCTTCGTTATGTTCGCAGACTCGTGGTTTCCGCGTAACATAAAGAAGTTTTCAGGGTACTTGATTTTGTAGCACAACAAAAGTAGTATGGTTTCTAACGATCTATGGCCTCTGTCCACATAATCTCCCAAAAACAAATAATTAGTATATGGCGGGTATCCACAAGAATTGAAAATTCTAATTAAGTCATGGAATTGACCGTGTATGTCACCAACAATTTTCACTGGGGGGGATAACTTCAACAATGTTGGTTGGTCCATGAAAATAGATCGCGACTTCGCTAAAATGAACTTAATCTCCTGTGTGGTCAACGGTAATTTCTCCCTGTTCTTGCGAGACTTTGAAGATCCATTCGTGTCTTTCTTCATTCCAATAGCTAACAAACGGTTGATCACGCCATCCAAATCAATGTCCAGCTTCTTGTTCATAGGTATTAAAGGAGGCGAATGAGATTCTTCAGAAGATGTTTTTTGCCTTGGCCAAGTATCTTTGATGTAGCTCTTTGGTATTGGGGAGCTCATATCTGTACTAGTTTTCTTCGACACGCTCTTCTTGGTCGAAATCATAGACTTTTTTGGTTCTGGTGTTGATTCAGAAGATGCTTCTACGATCGGGTCTAAGCTGGTTTCTGACGGGTTCTGAAAAGCGTCACCCTTCACGTAAACTGGTGAATTCACAAGAGATTCAGACAGTAACAGAGATTCATCTTTGTTTTCACCACTAGAAGTAAAGACGGGAGAAATAGATAAGTCTGCGCTCCTCAGGCTCTCAGTAGAGGAACCATACTCATGGACCTGCTGAGAAGAGTCCCTCCACTTCAGAGATGAAAAGGGAGAGCCGGACTGAGAAGCTAACAAAATAGCCATGGATGCATCGATATCAAACTCATACTGACGAGAGGATGGTGAGTGTTTTTTTAGCCTCCTTTGGGAAGTTTTTGGAGCGGGTATAGACTGCGGGCTTGACTTGATGTTCATCATTGAATCATCTTGGGTGCGGTTGGATGAACCGTGGTAATTAATATGCCTACCGAAACCGGTAGGTCGAGATAGCGGCAGTGACGATTCATCTGCATCAAGTTCACCGGCATTTACACCAGATGAGGCGCCACCACTGGTGGAATTTGCTGACGTATTCGGTAGATCATTTTTAGACGGGTTATTTCCCATAGTTATGTTGAAGTGACCAAAGATTTAGAAAACTAAGTTGCGGTGGGTGGAAAAGGTGTTGGTGAACTAGTCGATGTGCAAAAAGAATTCGGTATTCAAGGAGATTACCAATTTTTGCACTTAGTAATGTGGTCGTTCAGTAACCGCAAGTAGTGCAGAAATCACTACTTTTCCGAGGAATAATAATTTTTGAAAAATAACGTAACTAACTGCTTGGGCCTGGGATAATGTTTTGACACGTATTGTGTTAAGACCTTAGTGCTTCGGAAAGAAAACGTAGCAAAAGGAAACAGATTTAGAATCGGATCCTGATCCGAATTTCGGCTTTAGTGTGGACATTTTAGTACGCACACCTGGCATATGCGAATTAGGCAATAGGGGAAACCACTCCACAGTAAGATAATGGGGTGCCTGAAAATCACTACAACGAGTTGTACGAGTCGGGACCAAATAGTGTCATTCAGTTATTCGTGAAGTAGAGAGACCATAATTCATTTTCTTCTTTTTATTTTTTTTTCTCAATCCCTTTCATCGTAATTATTTATCCCAATGCATGCACCATCGTACATATATTGCGGATGTCGTTAAGCCCAAAATATTTGACAAGAAAAAAATGGGTTGCTATGCTTTAAAATGATCAATTGCCTCTGTGATATCCTTATACGTGGCAAGGAGTTACAGGTAGCATTGACTAATGTCAACTAACCTGTATTACCGATAAGTATGTGTGAGATTCATTAGTAGGTGCGAATCCCGCAAATGACATGTTTAAGTCTCTCCGCAATATGGTTTCCAGCATTCGATCGGCCGGGTGCCTAATAATTGGTGATGAGGTCCTAAATGGAAAAATTCGAGATGAGAACTCATACGAGTTTGCCAAGTATTGTTTTAATACTTTGTCAGTTCCTATGAAGAAGATTATTGTTTGTGGGGACGACAAAGACGATATTGTCAAATCAATTAAGATCTTGAGGGAGGAAAAATGTGACTTCATAGTTACAAGTGGGGGAATTGGCTCTACACATGATGATATTACGTATGACGCTATTGCTGAAGCTTTTGGTGTTCCATGTGAACTTGATCTGGAAACAGTGGAAAGAATGCGATCGATCAGGGGAGGCTATTTGGATCTGCTTTCACCTTCCCAGTTGAGCGCTTTCTATCGAATGGCAACCTTACCACAACAAACATCGGAGGTATCTGTGCTGAAACTTTATACGGAATCCTCATTATGGGTGCCTATTGTAGGCCTTCAACACCAGGTGTACATTTTACCCGGTGTGCCCGAGCTCTTCAGAAAGCTCTTGGTGGGACTTGGAGATCACTTGAAGGCAAGAGTTATTCTGAAAGCCTACCAGAGATTCTACGTTCAAACATCGACAAAGGAAAGTAACTTAGCTCCATTCTTATCTGCATTGCAAAAGACTTGCGATGAAAAATTTGGCGCTCAGCAAGTGAAACTTGGTTCATACCCTCATTTTTCATGGAAAACTGTTACAATCAGCATTATCGGCGATGATACTGTGCCCCAGGAAGCATTATTGGATATAGTCGACCAGGTAATTGTGGGTGTCGGCGGAGGAGCCAAACAAATCGATGCCCAGGAAGAAGATTTCATCTCTTCCCACGAGAAAGATAAAGAATGAAAAAAATTACTACGATCTTTCCAAAAGAATATGATCCTATTCTCTATAAATAGAATGCGGCCAATATTACAACTTCTCAGCAAGCAACTTAGTAACCGTTTCAACAGCAGCATCGATACCCTCAGGAGAGTCACCCATACCTTGAACAACATTACCCTTTCCGCCAGCTTTACCTCCAATATGAGCAGAGACAGCTTTAGCTAATTCGGAAGCATCAATGCCCTTGCTTATAGCCTCATCAGAAATATAACATCCGTGAGCAACCTTCTCAGATGTACCTGTGAGCAAGTAGAGAGATTTGTCCTTGTGCTGCTTTTTGATCAAGTTGATGGCTTCCGTGATGGCTTTGGCGTTCGCACTAATTGGAACGTGAGCGACAAAGAAAGCAGTCTTAGATTTTTCCTCGTCCTTCAACCAACCGTTGACTGCTTCCAAAGTTTTCTTAGATTCCTCTTTCTGTTTAGCCTTCAAGTGGTCCTTGATCGACTTGTCCAACTTGGTAAACTTCTCATTCAACTTCTGCTTGTCCAAGACAGAGATGGAGAGTTGCTTCAAAGCAACACCCAACTCTTTCGCCCTTTGCTCCTTTTCTGGACCAAAGGATAATTTGTCGGCAGAATCCAAGCTCGCACTAAACTCTCTTGCAATTCTTTGAACTTCCTGGGCCTCGTGACCAGTAACAGCAACAATTCTTCTGATACCTTTTGCAATACCAGATTCTTCGATAATGACGAAGTCTTTGATGTCACCGGTCTTTGCGACATGCGTACCACCGCAAAATTCGATAGATAACTTAGTCCAGTCCTGGTTAGTTGGATCTTTGAGCAAATCGGCCACTGCGACACCAATGGATACAACTCTCACAGGGTCTGGGTATGTCTCACCGAAAACAGCTCTAACACCTGCAATCTGCTTAGCCTTTGTCAACTCCACTTCCTCAGCATAAACTTGCTTGTTGCTCTTGATGATTTCGCTAGAGATATTTTCGACTTGTTCAAGCTCCTTAGGAGTTAATGCTTGCTTATGGCTGAAATCAAATCTCAATTTCTCTGGGGCAACCAAGGAACCCTTTTGATCGATACCGTCACCCAAAACCTCTTTCAAAGCAAAGTTCAAAACATGAGTACCAGTGTGATTGTTTCTGATTGGCCATCTTCTCAACTCATCATAAGTAGCAATGACATTATCGTTCAATTTCAAGGTACCCTCAACCATGGTACCAGTGTGGAGAATGTAACTACCATACAGTTGAACGTTCGTGACAGCAAACTCGGCACTACCATCGATAACCAAGCTACCCGTGTCATACTCTTGACCACCTTGCTCAGCATAGAATGGTGTTCTGTCCAAAATGATACCAAACTGTTGACCAGCTTCAGAAATCGTGTCGACAAATTTAGAGCCATCGTAAATTGCGACGATCTTTGATTCAATATTATCCAACCCATACTTGTAAACATCGTTAGTCTTAGTGATCGATTCGTTGTTGTCCAACTCCGACAAAGCATGCACATCCAACTTAATCAAAGTAGCACCGCCCTTGGTATTTGTCGCTTTCGAAGCTTCTCTAGATTCTTCCTTCGCCTTTTCAAAGGCTTCCTCGTCAATCTTCAAGCCAGCTTCCTCTGCCATTAATCTGGTCAAATCAACAGGAAAACCATAGGTATCATACAATCTCCACACATCCTTACCAGATAAAGTTTGCTCTGGAGTCTTTGATGCAATAATGGCGTACTGTTCGAACAACTTTTCACCTCTGTCCAAGGTCTTGGCAAATGAAACCTCTTCTTCCATCAAGATTTCCTTCAACATGTCCTTGTTCTTAGCAATTTCAGGGAAAATAGAGGAGTTGTTTTCAATAACAACGTCAACCAATTGTTGGAAAAACGAGCCTATTGGACAGTTCATGTATTTGCGAACATAACGCGCACCTCTTCTCAAAATTCTCCTCAAGACGTAACCTCTTCCTTCATTGTTTGGAACACCACCATCCGAAATTGCAAATGTCAATGTTCTCACGTGATCAGCAATAACTCTGTAAGCAGTGTCAATACCATCGACATCTTCAGCTCCGAATTTACCCGTATAAGGTCTAACGCCGGTGATGTTTCTAATTTCCTCGAAAATTGGCTGAAAGACATCGGTGTCGTAGTTGGAAGATTTATCCTGTAAGACAGAAACCAATCTTTCAAAACCCATTCCGGTATCAATATGCTTACTTGGCAACGGCTTCAAACTGGAATCGGCTTCTCTGTTGTATTGAATGAACACAATGTTCCACACTTCTAAAACATTCGGATCATCCTGGTTCACCAAAGAAGCAGCGTTCCTTCCACCAATTCTATCATAGTGAATTTCAGAGCATGGACCACATGGGCCTTGATCTCCCATTTCCCAAAAGTTGTCATGGGCATCACCAGGTAAGATGTGATCGGGGGCAACACCGACGGACAACCAATACTCCTTGGCTTCCAAGTCAGGCTCCAAACCATTCTTTTCATCTCCTTCAAAGTATGTGACATATAATCTGTCTTTGTCCAATTTGTAAACTTCAGTCAACAACTCCCAGGAGTAAGCAATAGCCTCCTTCTTGAAGTAGTCTCCAAAAGACCAGTTACCCAACATTTCGAAAAAAGTATGGTGATATGAGTCTCTACCCACATCTTCCAAATCGTTGTGCTTTCCACCAGCTCTGATACATTTTTGAGAGTTAACAGCCCTCTTCAAAGTGGCAAACTCCGAAGTTGGATCAACTGTACCCAAGAAGATGGGTTTGTATTGGTTCATACCTGCGTTGGCAAACAACAATGTTGGATCATTATGAGGAACAACCGAGGAAGATGGAACATAGGTGTGACTTTTATTCTTGAAATAGTCCAAGAAAGTGCTTCTAACAGTACTAGCAGACCAAGGATGGGAAGAGGTCGTCATATTATGCTTTCGTGCTAGACTCTTTAGCATTCAAAGAAGGACTGGCGCCCGCGGAAAGAAATTTCTCGCGAGGTACGAGAGATGCAAAGAGGTACGGGTGTTACCTAAGTATGTGTTGCGATATGACTACACTTTGGTACCAAATCTTCTTGAATCATTCTCACAGAAGAAGACACAAGAATAACAAGAATATGAGAAATGGAATGCCCAAATATAAGAAATAAGAAACAGGCAACAAAGAAAAGAACAAAAGACTACGCCATCATACAGAGACTCTTTTGTAGCAGGGATGCAAATTGCATGTGCTTTCGTAACTCGCCACACTATCATTCGCGTAGGACATTTCGGTGTGAGGACACAAACCTGTAGTTTTTACCTTTTCTTTTGCCCTCGGTGTTCACGTTGATCTTTGTTAGCGCGCTTCTCAGCCTTCACTCTATAGTTCTCCATGGTTCAATAAGAGCGCGACTTCCCAATAGGGCCATTAATTTGCTCATTCAGTGCGAGACCCGATGCTCCATTACTGAGATAAGTCAAGGCCACACCGAAATCATGCCTAGTCGGCCAGAACGTCTCTCTACTTTTCCCATTCTTCTTGTTCATTTCAACCATCAATACGATTCATCTACTTTGATGTCTAACTAAGGGTGAAATCTCTTCAAATCACATCGCTTTTCATAACTCATGATCCTTATAGACGGCACCAAATACTCATGCCTGGAATGCATTCGTGGCCATCGCTCCTCTCTGTGCCGCCATTACATGCGAGCGCTTCTTCAGGTGCGATCTAAGGGACGACCAAACTTCCAGTTTTCTTCTGGGAACAAGAATCACCGGATCGCAGTGTTTGCCGAAGAAGTGGCTGACTCACCCGATCCAGTCTCTGCCTCCTGCAAAGATGTCCCAGTGGTTATTCTTAAAACCTCGGATAAACAGGTGATCGATATGACCAATGGCCGAATCGTGGGACCATATCGGAAAGAAGAAGTGCCTTTCCAATCATCCAATCCAGTGATAACTTCTGATAACTTCCTAGTATCGTCGTCATGTTGCTCCGATGGTGCTTCCAAGGTTCGTAAGTCGTGTTCATGCAATCAGAAAAAGGTTTCAAAATCGAAAATCCTCAAGTCTTACATCGACAAAAAGATACAACAGCAAAATGCTATCAAAGAATCCCCATCATACGACAAGGTACAATTTAGACAGGCGAAACTGTGTTGCAAAAAGAATGATAAGATAACAGCTGCTTTGAAATGCGAAGAGAAAGAGCAACCCCTAGCTGCAAATCGAAACGGCTCTTCTGATTCATATCAATACTTGCCCAATACAACCACATATCCGAAGATGGAACCCGTTTCAGTTAATCAACTGGACCAAAAACAGTTCTCATCAAATGATGAGATTTCTGACATGCAAACAAGTAACTTTTATGCATCTAGCTCAACCAACGATGTCTTCGAAGTGATCAATGTGCCAAATTGTTCTCTTCCAGGAACATGTTCTTGTTCTACTGATTGCGCATGTCCTAATTGTATGACGCACAATAACTATCAAGACCCAAAAAACAGCCGTGTGCTTGACTTTTTGAACAACGACTCGCAATTGGACTCAAACCTCATTTTGACTCTGAACCCAGGTCTCCGGCAGAGTATACCTCAAACCCACATGCAGCCCACTTTCCAAAATGGGAGTACCCCTTCCTTATCCTTCCCCAATGCACTAAATCCAGACTCTTATGCGCTTCCCTCTTCTGACAATTTACACCAGCTGCATGGCCAGAATCCAGAATACGCAATGCAAAACCGCAACCAATCAGACAACTTAGTGCCCCTAAACGGCCTGCTGATTTCCAATTCCAACTTTAGATCTCCGTTTCCCAACATTCTGTCTTTATCAAAAGATTTCGATACCTACAACAATATTCTACTGCAAGTAATAGGAAGCACCATAATGCCCGCGGAACATCCTTCTAGCCTGTTGTCTGACGAATCTGAAGATTCTAATGTGTGTACTTGCGCGGATGACGCATGCAACTGCGCCAATTGTGAGACACACGGAATCATTGACGGTTACAAATTGGATGACATTTTCGTGTCAAAAGCGCCTTTAGATAACTTTCCCAGAGTCGACTTGCACTGATTAATGTGACTGCCTATGCATGTCATCGAATAGGCTCAGTATGCCACAGCTGTTACTGAACACATCATATTTGAATCTGCGCCGTCCTGCGCTTACACTGATGTGTCCTGTGGTTTGGCTTTGGTCTAAGCGATCAAGCAAAATACACACAGGATGCATGTTCCTGCTGGTGTGACTCCTGTATACCAAATATGGTGAGTTTGCCCAGCATCCGAGACCTCCTTACTGTATATAAAATTATCCCAGATGTCATTCATGGAAGCTTCTAGCAACTTCCAAGATATTCTTAATAAAGAACGATAATCGCTCCACCTTAATATTCTCATTTTAGCCAAACATCGTACTTTCATTGACGCATTCAATACGATTCTCAGCTGCACTGAATTTTTTTTTTTTTGGCTGCACATCGCTTCCCGCAACGATCGTGAAAATTTCATATCCACTTTTTTTGGAACACAATAATATTATTTAAGATTTGAAGGCCAACTTTGTCAACGAAGTGTTCATGTCAAATTTAACCGATTTGGATCCATCGCCTGGTGATGGCGATATTCATGTTATCAATCGTGCTCATCAGTTTCCGAATGAAGATAGCGCCCCTCATACCGAAAATGCCGATACACCCAACTTCATCCACTCTTTAGATTTACCCCCATCCCTTTCCGCTTCCAATAATCTCTTTGATGAGTTTAACACCCATGAAAATCAAGAACAAAACTCAAGACAAGATATCCCAAACTCCACTGAGTACAATCCTAATTTGACCGATATTCATAATAATCCATCCGATGATTCAGAGAAACCTTTAACCAGCGCGCTAACGAGGTTTCCTAGCAATCTTCCACCTCTTCCACCTCTCTCAGAATCCATAATTGCCAAGGATATTCCATTACCGTCAAACCCAATTCTACCAGAGTATGTTTCCAATGGAGTTATGAATTCTAATAGACCTCAGGCATTATTGGGTAGTATACAAAAGAAGAAAAAGGAACAGCAGGGACCAAAGACAAGGCCTGCTTTTGTCATGAAGATTTGGTCTATGGTGAATGACAACGCTAATCATGAATACATCCGCTGGAACGAAGACGGCGAGTCCTTCCAAGTGGTACACAGAGAGGAATTTATGAAGAAGATTTTACCAAAGTATTTCAAACACAATAATTTTGCTTCTTTTGTGCGACAGTTGAATATGTACGGTTGGCATAAAGTTCAAGATATCAATAGTGGATCGTTGAAAGAAGAAAGAGGCCAAGAAGAAATTTTGCAGTTCAAGAATCCGTACTTTATCAAAGGCCGTGAAGATCTCCTTGATAATATTGTGCGTAACAAGGCAGGAAACCAGGAAAACGAGTCTTTAGACTTGAGTAATATCAATTTCCAACTCATTATCAATGAACTTGACCAAATAAAGCTCAATCAAATGGCCATAATAGAAGACATGAGACGAATGAGAAGTGATAACCAAACCTTATGGAATGAAAGCTTTGCCACCCGTGAGCGCCATCAAAAGCAAGCACAGACACTTGATAAGATTATGAAATTCCTTGCAGCTGTGTATGGAAATACTGCTGGTAAAATTTTTGAAGTAGAGAATGGTCCATTGGATCTGAACTACAACAATCATGTTTCAGCTTACACGAATCCTCCTAAGCAGAATTTTTCTTCTCCTGCTCAATCACCTCAAACTTACTCGCAACCTGCTCCTATACTGAAGCCTAGGTTGATGTTGATGGATCAGGCATACCAGAAGACACCAACCTCGGATACGAAATCACCATCCATTTCCACTGCAAGAGATAGCTCAGTAGAGGAAATCATCAGAAATAATGGTAATTTTCAACCTGCTCCTAATGACCCAACAACAAACGTGAACAAGATTTATCAACAAATAATGAACCACGAGCCTTCAGCTCCATCTCCACGCCACTTTTTCCCCGAGTTAAACAGTCCATATCCTGTGTCCCCAGGTCCACAATTTTTGAGGATGCCCACTCCTACGCAAGAGCAACACACCGATACTCTTCAGGGCCTCGAACAAAATATTTACAAACAGGGACAAGCGTTGCTGCAAGTTCAGGACTGGATCCAGACTTTGGCCAATAGGCAGCAGCAACAGCAACAGCAATTGCAACAGAGAAGAAGCCCTACAATGCCCTCGCAGGAAACTGACCTTGACGATTTTGATGTGAACGAGTTTTTGAACAACAATTCAGTCAATCCGTCTACTCCAAGTCAGAGTTATAACCTGACTAATGATGTTGCTGTACCCGATGATTATCAACCGGAAAACCACGGCAAGCGCGTGATCGAGGAGGTACAAGACAATAAAGAGGGCAGGCAGAGAAAGAGAACCCGTAAGTAATGATACCTCAATTTATCAATCCGAGCGGATTCTATATAGCTTTGTTGGGAATTTACATCACCTTCGTGAAAAAGCAAATTTAAAATCATCGCCATCGCCATCGCCTCCATCGTTATAATCATGACTACCAGCGGAATCAATGAGCACATCCGTAGACTTCCCACGCGTGGTAAAAGAAAATGTATTATCATCGTAATCAGCATCCTCGCGTTCTTCCCTAATCTCGGTATCAGATGCTTCGTCCACGAAAAGTTGCGAAATTTTAGGTTGATAACCTTTAACGTCATTCATCTCCTTCGCAAAGTCGACTTCAATCCTTTCGGCCGCCTCGAAATCAGTAGAACCATGGTCAGTAAATCGAATTTCATTGAGTGAATCATCCTCATAAAGCTCCAAAAATGTTCGAGTGACAGTATGAGCAGCTTTATTTCTTCGCCTGAATGCCTTGAAATTGGGTCTACCCTTGTATCTTGGATCAACATTAGCTTGAGCTTTAGTCTTTCTTGGTACTGCGAAATCTACCTCTTCCACTATTGCAAGTTTCAGTAAATTATCATGAACGAAATCAACCCCTGCGGTTTCTAATTCATGTTTAGCAGACTTTTCGGCTTCTTCTTTTGTGGCACGAACAGCATCCGCAAAAGAAATTTGGGGCACGATCCATTTTGCATTCTTATTCACTTTGAATTTTTTAGTCACTGGCTCCTCCAGTGGTTCCCTTACGCTATCGGCATTTTGTGATGCGTCACCAGAGGGTTTCTCCCGTTGTTCCGAATTTTGCATTGCAATATTAGTCTCTCCAGTTTCAATTTGTTTCGCATCTTGTTGTGCTGTTGACTCGATTCTGGTTTTGTTTTCTTCGTCTTCCGAGGTGTTTCTACCCACAAAATCCCCTTCTACGTTGCTTTGAGAAGGCGGTTCGATTTCAAGTTGCGAGTTTTCGTTGTCAGCAGTGACAGCATTGTGGCTAGTGATAGAGCTAGAAGGGTAACTAAATTGAAAAAAGTCAGTATCATTAACACGCTCCACTTTTCGTCGCTTCCTTCGCTGTGAAAATCTAGGAGTATCTTCATCTTTGACACCAGTGATCTCAACTTCAGGATTAGCAGTTGTAAAAGATTTCAAGTTCTTTATATCAACTGACTTAACTGCGTTCCAAAGATCATTAGTCAGGTTGACTTGCTCACCAAAAAGGTTCATCAAATTGTCGGTACCAGAGACCTTGAAAACGAAGACCGCATTAGTATTTACCATTCGCTGAAGAGTAGTTAAAGCTGATGTTTTATTTTCTTGATCATTCAACAAGCAGATAACAGAGCATCCAAGACACTTCAACCATGACTCTAGTCGCGTGACTTGTTTCATGTTCTCCAGATGCCATATTACAGTCTCCTTTCCTTCCAAGAGGCTAGGTCTTCTTTTATCAGGAAACACATAGTTGCTTGGAGTACCAGGCAATAGTAGATCTGCGGTGGGATGAAATAGCCACTTATTAATATCATGGGGTGTCTTCATTAGGCAATCTGTCCAATGGCTCGTCACAACAGGAATAGACCTCAGAACAGCAATTTGATACGCAAAATCAACATGGTCCGAGAGCACGATGTAATGGGTAGCTAAAAGAGGGTCATTGCAAATACGCAAATCAATTCCCTTTGCATGAATATTATCCAACAACTGCGGTAATGGACTCTCTTGAATTTCTCCTTCGTATCGTATTTTCTTTGAAAAAGGCATGACATTAACAGGTACCCAATGAATTCGTATTTGGATGCGGTTTGTTTTATGGGCGTTTACCTTCAACAAAAGATCTTGTTCGTGAAATTCTTTGGTCATTGGGGACGACTCCCGGGAAGGAAGTCGAAACAACTCGTCGTTAACTGTAGTCTTGCAAATAGATTCAAACTTGATTGAAAGAGAGGAAGTTTTAAGGTCTTTCGGATCTGATGTTCCCACAATGATGCTGAGATAAACTTTAGGCACTTTCAAATCGCTAATATGAATACAAGTTGGATCAGACTTGTAATCATTGTGTCTTCCCACACGGGTCAGTGAACCTGCTTTGAGGATGCGATGTGTTTCTATGAAGTTAGTATATTGGATAAAGTGAGTTCCATTTCGCCCATACCTTCATTATCGATAAGCACAGTAGCTATCCACATGAGAGTTGATCATCTATGATTGTTCGCGCATATCTGCAACATGACCACAAGATATTATGACATGGGCCTACACATCAAATTGGGGATGCTTACGAGATTTTCGGTGCTGCTTTCAAATTAATGTACAAATGCGATGACTATCTATTTCTTGGAGATTCCTTTCGTGATCTTCTTTGACTTCTTCTTCTTTCTCAACTCTGCACCAAGAGCCTTGTTGACAGTTTCTTCATCCGCCAACTCCAACAATGCTTTGGTGTAGAAGTCTTCTGTTTCTTCTTCTTCTTCTCCGTCCTCTTCAGGAGCGTTCTCAAGGACATCAGAGTCAGAGTAAATTTTATCGGTATAATAAAGAGGTACAACAGGAGACTCAGTGGTCTTGATTCCAATGGTGAGCAACAGACTTTCATCGAATGTCTTCAATACATTGTGCAAATTCTCAAGCAAGTCAGTTTCAGAGAACAGCTTGTTGAAAGAACCAATCTTAATCAACACAGAGTTACCAACAGGTGGTAAATATGCGGTGGACGACAAAACTTTGTTAAGTTGGTTGTTAAGAGTGACAAGCGACAATTGGTTTTGGTTTTTAGTAGACGCTACTCTGATGTTGATAGGGAACTTTGCCTTTTCATTCATGTAGAAAGTCTTACCCAAAACGTTAGGCATGGAGCTTAAAATGGCTTCATCAACAAGAAACAAGTCATATTCACTGTACAACTCACGACGCTTTTCGAATGTGTGGTAGATTGTTTTCAATTGTGTCAAGGTGAGAATCTTTTTCAAGGTTGGAATGTCAGCATTCTCCACTTCCTCCAATTGCTCGGCATTAGAAATAAAGTGGTCTCTGAGGAACAAACAAGTCTTCAATTCTTCCTGCTCTCTCAAGTAGGGCTTCGCCAACTCAATAAGGCGTGGTTTGAACTCTGGCTTTTGCGAAATGTATTTCTTAGTTTGCACGTCAACATATAAGTCTCTTTCAGGTTCGTCCTCGTCATCAAACAACTGAGACTTCTCCTCGGATTGCTCTTTTTGACGGGCCAAATACTTTTGCAATTCGGAAACAGCCTTTTGTGCTTGACTCTTGGAAACGTATCCAAATTCCTTCGCTTGAGAGGGTGCTGGAGCCTTCGCCTTTTTCAGTTTTTTGGAAGCAGGAGAGGCAACAGGGGTGTCTCCTTGAGAAGTAGACTTCTTCGCTTTGGACGGAGTTTTAGGACTGGCGGACGTCTTTGTTTTTTTGGCCATTTTTGCTTTTTCGGTGTAAGACAAAACGATCTCATCGCTCACTGAAAAAATACACTGGAGAAGACGCAGAGGGGTGTGCACACAATATGCTCCCACAAGCTTCCGGTTAAAATGCACATCTATTAATTTCGATTTACTTTTCTACCTCTTTGTCACTCTAAGCGAGTCATGTGTGTTGATATTGTACGTCGTCTCATGTAGAAGGTGGCATTGCTGTTTTGGGGAGAGGAACTTGTATACCTTGATTATGCACACGGTCGACTACTATCGCAGGTACATTATTGTCAATGTTTCTGAAGAGCACATCATGGCCATCGTTGATATCAAAGCATTCATCCTCATTGTCTCCATGTCCCTCTTTCGGTTCATCTTCCTCGCTATTTTCCATATGGTATTTTCGCACGTGCCCGCTATCAAAGCCTCCTAGTCTATCCCAAAGTAAATGAGAGAGTTCCTCCGGAGAATAGACGGACTTGGTGTTGGGTCCTTCTTCTGATTTATGGTAGTCATTCCATTCAGAATGAGGCGAGAGCGGGGGCAGAATGAGAAATCTTCTTGTCCCGTCTTCCAGGGGTAGTTCTAAGTAGTCAATAGGATCCGACTGGAGACACCACAGCTCATCGTTGAGAATGGTCAGAGGATTATCTTTGATGCTAAAGCTCACAAGTGCAGATCCCGCTAATTCTTTGTCTAGAAATTCTTTGATCTCTTTGGCTATAGTGGAAGAAGTACACACCAAAATGTACCTCCTGAACTTCGGAAGGTGTACCAACTCCACGTTAAAATTTCGCGTGGCAAGAAGATGTGCCAAAACCCCAGGGCTAGATATTAGTTCTGGGCTAAGTTTGCTTATTATTAACGAGTTTGTTGCTTGTCTTGTCATGGCGGCACTAAGAATGTGTGCACTTTAAACGGCCATTTGTGGAGTTCCCATTAGACAAGTGTGCATATGAGTGTACAGCCTCGAAATCCTGAACTGGAACATGGCAACGAGCCTTAAGTTGATTTTATAGAAGGCACACTTCATAATAAATGTATTCCGCACATGCCAAGACGGCGGAAATACGTATTATGTATTTCGAAATAATTTTGGTCCATCATTTGGAAGTCACCTGCTATGCACTCATTATTCTCTCCATTGTAACAGTCCACAACTTTTTCCGGAGGTGGGTTCGTGCGGGATGCTTCTGTATCAATGTAGATTTGGTTGTCGAACTGGTGATACTTTTCGTAAAATCTCATTCCAACCCGAGGGATTGTGGTGACAATATCACCTTTATGAATGACGCGAATGAACTTGCGATTATAAGTATTATGCGATAGAGGCAAGTAACTGCCCAAAACATAATCAGCCCACGTAGTAAAGTCTTTATTTCCCATTAAAGGTTGTCCCATAGTAACGAGCGTGATCTGGGAGTATCCCAAACCAAGGAAGTGGAGTGCAAGCAATAACGCTACAGATCCTCCCATGCTATGGCCCACGAGAACAAGTTCGTAGTTTTCGCAGTCACCGAGCTCACTTAATAGTAGGTCGCCAATAACATTCATTGTTCGGTAGAAGTATGCCCAGAATCCTTTGTGAATCTTGCAATTTTCGCCGCACCATGGAAGCGCTGAACCTAGGTTATGGAACGGAACCATCTCCACTTTCAAATCAGTTAAGGTATCGTGCAAGGACCGCGTTCCTCTGAGAGAAACGATCACAGTCTTTTTCCGCTCACCATTTGAAGTCTCTGTGTCGTTGTACTCAAAAATGTTCGAGTAGGTGGTAGCTATATATCCGCACACAGAGTCGTCGAAGAACCACTGATAAACCAATGTCATGTTAGGAAAGCTGCTTGCGCATTCGAGCTCACATTGGAACGGCTCCTCAATCCGATGAAACTTGTCTACACAATAAGCAATATCTATGAGATGTGCGTATATGTACAAATTGCTGTACACCTGGACATCGATAGGTTCGGGGGTAAATTTGGGTTTAAGGGGTGACTGAGAGGCAACAATCGGTATAGAGCCTGGTTGCAGTCGATAGGAGCTCACGAACGCACAGAAGAAGACTAAGATTGTCAGAAGGAGCATGTAAAGCACATACGAGTGGGGTAATTGAATGCGCTAATCAACTATATCAGTCGCACAAAATGCACTACGATAACATCTTCATGCATTATACCCAATAATGGGAAATAAGTATTCTCAAAAGTAGGGCAGTAGCAATGCCTGGAGTCATAGAATATAGAACATTGATGAGCTTATGGATATTTCGCTTCAATATGGAAACAGATAATAGTAAAATGAGTGCCAAAAGGCCCATTGATCTAAAAGCCAATATGGTATTGGTAACATACCCTTGGAATGCGACCGAAACTCCGCTAAAGAACAGAGGAATTGTAATTCGGGAGAGTTGATTTTCCATATCAATCACTGTGTTGGTGACATTTTTAAGGCGAGATTGCAATTGATGGTGTAAAGTATCAGTCCGTTCTATGACAGTTTGTAAACGGGTATCCACTGCTTTCGCAAAATCATCTGCTTTGCTCACGACATGATTAGAAAAATCATCAAAGGCGGCCACTGCTGTAATATCGATGTTTGTCAACCACTCTTTCATGTTAAAATCGAATGTTTGTAGACCAGCATTAACCTGATTACTCATGTGATAGTTATTCTCCAAAGAATCCTTCATAAGTACGCTGGTTTTCATACCTTCTTCTAAGAAGTTTTTCATCTTCAAGATATCATTGACAGCATTCGAAGTGATCTCCTTGTGTCTTTCCCCAAAAATGTTTCCCTGTTCATTAAATTCGTTGTTCATATCATTAAATCGAGATATCGTATCTGTCACCAAAGCATTAACATGGCGAAGCTCGTTGCTGATTCCATTAATATCATTGTAGATACCAGCCGAAATGTCGACTATATCAGACTTTGCCTTGCTGTAGGCGGTTACCATAGACGCTTCGAATATCTCAAAATCTTGTTGCATTTCTTCTTCTTGATGCTGCCTGGAGTGTAAGAGTTGTGTCATCAAATCAATAAGGTCTTCGAATCTCTTTTCTATTGTACCACGGAATAGCTCGGCTGTCTGTGATGCTTTCACTGTTTCGTTGAAGAAACCAGAATACACTTTCGTAATATTGTAAAACAAGTCAACCACATGATCTTTCATGAATGGGAAAGCTTCTTCGAAACATATCGTCCTTAGTTTGCGATAGTTTCCCGAATAAGTGGTCCACAATTGTGAATTTTTTCGGAACTCCTGGATACACCTCTTGAAATCTCCAATCAGTGTAAGACTTTTACAACAGTCCGGATAATCAACCTCAGTCTCTTCCAATTCACAAATGGAAAGTTTTACAGCCAGTGATATTCGAATATCTACATCCACTGAATCAGCCCCTTTAGCTGTGCACTCTTGAATAAATTCACGGAGTGCTGCTTGCGTGCATGGGGATTTGTGGATGCTCTGGAGTTCTTGGAATTGAGTATCAATACTCTGAAGCCCGAGTTCCCCAAAGGCCAAATCAATAGCGAGAACTCCGCAAGTGAAAAGAATGAATCTCATAATCCTATGAGCATACAATCTGATCAGATGGCAAGACTTAATTTTAATTCATGTTACCTGTTGTTTCATCTTCGTTACAAATCAACAGAGTTATCTCTACCATTAACACTTCTAAACCGCTTTGAATAGATGTCTGAAGAGCCAAGATCATGTTATTCGAAATGTTCCTATCACTCTACTCTTAGCATTATGGATTGGAATTTTCAAGACCTTCGAAACACGAAAAGATGTCTTTGGTGTGCATGAATCACCATCAACAACATCGCACATTTGACAATAGTACTACTAGTACAATATCAAAAATGTCAGTACGACTGGCTTTGCCGAAAAAAGTACTTCAAAAAAGATTCAACAGTTTTTCTTTCATTCCAAACTCTGATGTTTTTGCATATGAAGAAAAAAAGCTCTCAAGAGAAATTGATGATTCTGTTGTGCCCAAAATGCCAGATGTCTCGCTGATTCCAAAATTGTACACGGACATGGTGGACCCAAGAGACGTTGTCGATCTCTTTATCCGCCCAAAGTTTGAGGATGTCGTTGTTACAGCCTTAGCAAAAGACTCTCCACTCTTCGGAGATCCAACCTATTCTTTGTTGTCGAGGTCTCATGTTAATGGTTCTAAATTTTTATTCGCCAGCTTAACAACTGAGTGGATGGATATATTCAGGTCCGGAATCAAACAGCTCTCGGAGATTACTCCAGAGAAGACCATTTTAAGTTACAACAGCAAATCTCGAGAAGCAACTATTCATGAACAGTTCGATTCTCTGGTTTTACACGATTATACCAGTTTAAGTTCATTCTACGAGAAACTTTTGGCAAATGATGACATCACTTTGGAGAATGTGACACATTTTCTCCTCCATCATATCCAGACTTTGCAGGATTATCAGCTTATCATGAAATATTTGAGCAACAATATTCATGCAATCAACACTTTCGCATCGAAGGATTTTGTCACAGTACTTTTAGATGATTTACTTCGATCAATATCAGTGGAGAGAGTTGACGTCTTTTCGGAGCTATTCACAAACTATTTGCTTGCATTCCAACCTAATCTTCTAAAGGAATTATCGCCGACAACTCTCGATCGTTTGGCTTATGTAACGTCTGCCTCTTCTGATTTATCAACTGCAATAGAAGCAATGGCGACGTTGATTAAAGTGCACGAGAATGCTCCTCTGAAGCCCACATTTGAGCTTTTTATGTCCAGATATTGCAAACTTGCTTATTCGCAAGACTACAGCAAGTCCCAAATATTAAATGACTTAGGAAACTTGAAATCAATCTTTTTTCACAGGGGCTTGGATACAAATGCGTTTAAATTGTTTCTTAATGTTGCTGTGAATAATGTTCATGATTTGTCGCATTTGCTTTCACTTGTTGAGGAAAAATCCCCAGCTCTATTAAATGACCATGCTCCTGCTATCTTCGAACGCCTTCAAAGTATTCACCAAGAAGATCATTCCTCAAAACTTATAAAGGCCGTGCAAGTGACACAATTAGCGAAAATTATGATTAACAATGGTGTGAAAGCAAACGATACACTCAAGGACTTGCTTTCAAAAATATGTGCTGATTTGGACATTCCTAGAATCCATTTGTAAATAGACTACCCGAGAGTAGAAACCTCGCATATCTTCCCATATTTAAACCTTTCTGGATTTCATTTCAGATATTTAATTTGATTGAATAGTTTTACCAATGATAACCCAATTTTCTTGCTGCGATACATCCAGTACGTAACTCATATATTATTATATAACCCATTCGATATTACACAACCCATTTGATATATACATATAACCCTTTTAATATTACATTAACCAATCAACGCAACTTCTATGACGATCGATGTTGTAGCAGCTGCAACTCAATGTCCGAATCGTTCATGTCATTATCCGTATCAAGTATCTCATGAATAGAGCTATTAGCAACCCTCTGTGTTCCACCGCCATGAAAGGCATTGGTGTAGATATAGAAACCATCGTCGGAATCTGAATCTGAATCCACGGAATAAGCAATATTTCTAGCTCTGCCTCTCATTTCATTTGCGGGATATACATCATCTTCCAAATGTTTTCTAGAAGAAACTGATCGTTTGAAAAAACAAACGAGTGATGCTATTAAAGCCATCAACAGAATAGGAAGAAGTTGGATCCAACCCAAGTAGCTGAGTTCAGGTACAAATAACAAAACGTCTGCTAGAAAAGCTAAAAGCGTCAGTAGAAACAGTAGTAGCGCAAAAAGTACCATCCAGTTGTAATACGGAGTGGTATCTCTCTTTATTGGTTTGAGTTTGTCGATGCTAAAACTGTCGCTGGTCTCAGTGTCGGTGGAAGTCTTCTTTTGGCGAACCCATCGAGTGTGATGTGAAGAACGATTGCGCAAATCATCAAGGAATGAAACGAAGAGTATTAGACACGTTTCCAATAGAAGAAGACTGGTGAAGAAGAATGCCAAAACATGCACCACCAACAATTTGGAAATGTAGTATGTCGCATTCGATGGTAACTCTATTCCAGAAAGACCATCGGTAACACCATCTTCGTACGACTCTGTGTCTGTTACGAAATCCTCAATCGGATATCCAATTTTCGGGTCCGAGCAAGCTCCAGTTGATATATCGCAGACGCCAAAAATACCAAACGTGATGTTGTTATAGGAACAAAGATGTAGGTCGTAGTTGATGCTTTTTCCTGTGATGGGTACCGATATGACCGGTAGTAGTTGTATAAGCCACGATATTAAACACAAACAGCCAATAAATATGACTCCAGAGTGCATCAGTGCCAGTGACTCTGTTTGATCGGATTGATGAGTAGTTGCCAAGATTATGCATATCTTGGTGCACGGGTGCAAAGTATCCAGGATGTGACTTACTTTTCATAAGCAAGCTACCGTGTTCATTGGTTCATAGGCTTAGTTAGATATGTAGATCTATGTTAGAGGTCTTCAAGACTCATTTTATCGTAGTCTCCCTTTCTAATGTTGGGGGTCAATGTAAGAAGTCGCACACACTTGTTGTACTAAAATGCCGTAGCGAACATGCTTTTGTGCTTGCAAATGAAAAACTACGAAAGAAATTAAAGCATATGAGCAAGACTTTCCAAGTTTATGAAAATGCAAAAATCACTTAGGATTTTAATTTCAGAGGTTGTAGTCTCATGCTGTCTTTGTTGTTTTCCATTACTCACGTGCTCGCACGAGACCTGATACTGAACGATATGATGTACAAACGATTGGCTATAGGTATATCGATAAGTGCAATTTTGATCTCAGTTTTCAAGCTTCATTTACCTAATATCACGTCACCGATATTTTTGGCTCGCCTATATTCACATCTTCACATTCCTTGTTCCATGTCCAGCATCCCCTCAAATCATCCTTATCACAAGGAGTTGGAAATCGCAACCTTAGCAGTCAAAAGAGCTTCAATTCTTACAAAAAAGCTAAGCGATTCAATTGCAGCTACCCTGAAAAACGGCACCCAGATAAAAGACGATAAATCCCCTGTAACTGTGGGTGATTATGCTGCTCAAGCTATCGTAAACCATGCACTTCAATTGAACTTTCCATCCGATAAGATTGTTGGCGAAGAAGATTCCATTTCTTTGCGTGATGGATCTGATGAAGCAAATAAATTGAATAGTCGTATTCTTCAAATCCTAGAGGATGCCCAGAAAGAAACTGCCTCCCTCAACAATCAATTGGGCGACCTCAAAACTATTGAAGAAATTCATTCCAGTATTGATTTAGGAAACTATGAAGGCGGACCAACTGGTAGATTTTGGGCATTGGACCCTATCGATGGAACAAAGGGATTTTTGAGAGGAGATCAATTTGCTGTTTGCCTTGCACTAATTGAGGACGGCAAAGTCGTCCTCGGTGTAATAGGTTGTCCAAACTTGGCTGAACATATCGTCTCTAATGAAGAACAGACAGGCAGAATAGGAGGTTTGTTTTCTGCCGTTCACGGCTTGGGATCTTACTACTCGCCTTTATTTGAATCGAATGAGTTCGTCCCCCTTGCTAAACAACAAAAACTTCAGATGACTGAAGAGACTTCGCCATCAAAATTAAAAGTGATGGAAGGAGTGGAAAAGGGCCACTCAGCCCACTCTACGCAGAGCCAAATCAAGCGGGAGTTAGGCTTTGATGATTCGACAGTGGCGAAACAAACAATCAACTTAGATTCACAAGTCAAGTACTGCGTTTTAGCAAAGGGACAAGCTGACATTTACTTGCGCTTACCTATCAATGACACTTATAGAGAAAAGATTTGGGATCATGCTTCGGGTAACATTTTGATTCATGAAAGTGGAGGTCAAGTAGGCGACATCAGGGGAAGTCCGTTGGATTTTGGTAAAGGAAGATACTTGCAATCCAAAGGTGTCATTGCTGCTAACAAGAAGATTTTTGCTACTGTCATTGATGCTGTTGAAAAAGTTTTAAGTAAGCAGTAAAAGTTCTTTCTTTTTATATATGGTTTCTATTTACAAGACACTATTCGCTGACCTCAACAACGTAATACTTTTGTTTACCAGTTCTCACAAGCAATAACTTCCCATCAATCAAATGATTCTCCTTGTCAAACAAAACAACATCGTCCGGATCAACGAATTGACGCCGATCAATTCCCAAGTAAACCCCACCAGCTCTGATAAGAGCCTTAGTTTCGTTCTTTGACATTTCGAGAACAGATGATAACAATGTGCTCATTTTCAAATCGGTAGGGTCCGGGAATGAAGAAAGCTTTAACGCTCTCAAGATTCCTGATTTTCTAAATTTCAGAATAAGCTTGTCGGCTGTGATGTCATCATCAAACGGTTGATCTGGGGTGGGAAACAAAAAACTCGTGATATAAGCCATTTCATCACCTACGCCATTACCATGGATCAAGTCCACAACTTCCCTAGCAAGAATTCTTTGAGCGATTCTTAAACCTGGGTCCTTTTCGTGTTTAGGTACAATCACTGTTTCGATTGCCTCTAAAGGAAGAAGAGTCATAATCTTTAAGAGCTTGAAGACCATCTCATCCTGAGAATTAATAAAGAACTGATACATCTGGAATGGTGTGGTTGATTTTTCGCTGATAAACACGGCATTTCCTGCCGACTTTCCAAATTTCTGACCACTTGGTGTAGTCAAAAGAGGCACCGTAATACCAAATGCCAGAGAATCATGTTCCTTTTCAGCCTTCGATTTCGTTTCAGTACTTTTTTGGAGACGTGAAATCAAATCAATTCCAGCAGTGATGTTTCCCCACTGATCGTTTCCACCAATCTGAAGATTAACACCCTCATTTTGGAATAAATGCCAGAAATCATAAGCTTGTAGAATCTGATAGGTGAATTCGTTGAATCCTATACCCTGCTGAGATTCTAGACGAGACAGAATAGAATCTCTAGCAAGCATTTGTGATACTCTGATATGTCTACCGTAAGTAGCTAAGAAATCCAAAAGCTTGACCGATTTCCACCAGTCCGCATTGTTCACACTCTGAATGGAACCCAATTTCGAATCATCCTTCGCAATTTCAATGTTTCTAGACTTTGCATAGTCGATGCCTCTTTTCAAAAACGTTTGAATTTGCTCCTGGATGATTCTCACGTTCTTTTCTCGCTGGGCTGCTTCCATTGCTGAACGTTCGCTTGTTCTCCCACTTGGGTCTCCCACCACACCGGTAGCCCCTCCAACCAAACCAACAACATCATGACCTCTCAACACAAAGTGTAGTAAGACCATAAGAGGTAGTAAATTACCCAAATGAAGCGATTCTGCAGTAGGGTCAGCACCACAGTACAATTTGAGCTTCTGTTTGTTGCCATGTTCAGTAATTTTGTACAAATCATCACTTGTAAGTGTCTCTATGAGGTTTCTACTGTAGAGGTGCGCCACAAGAGAACCTTGAAAGTCCTTAGATGTGAAAGACGAAGGAGTCAAATCGTGTACCGAGGGAACAATTTTCATATTCTCCGGGGGCAATTCCACAGTGGGGATAGTGGACTGGTGCCTCACTTGGCACACACACAATCGTCCACGAAGACTAGATTTCTGGAGTCTCAAAAAGCGCTGCATGCTTATTCTTGGGTAGTAGTATGAGTTGGTAAATTCTGTTCGCGCTTTTCCAATTGCCTTGTATGATTTAGTTACACTCTAATGAAAACATAGACCGAAATGGACACCTTTATTTGTCAGAGTTTCAAAAGAAGTACAAGGATAGCGAAGTGAAGTCATTATCTTTTTCAGCCAATATCTTTTCCCTCTTCCTTCCTTTATCTTCTTTACAGGTAAGGAGCGTAAATACCTCGAGCTTACTTAAACAATGAAAGTTCTGCAGTAGGATAAAATATCTTTATCAAAGAAGTTGACTGGGTCTTTTTCTCCATCGATTTCAAACGCTTTATTATGCCATCCAGAGATCTGGTGAATCTCATTTTCCATTATCAGTTCAAATCGCGACTCATCGCCAAAAAAAACCGAGACACACTTTGCATCATTTTCATGTCCAACATCTCTGTTGTTCATGCTGAAGACAGCACGGGGACTAGAAAAAGAAAGAGAAGAAAATCCAAGAAGCCAAAGGTGGATGCTCAAGTGGAAGATGTTACTGATGTCCGTGTGAATAGAACTAATAAGAAGATCAAGTTCGATTCAATCTCAGGTGAAGACGAAGAAGAAGAGGTGTCACCAGCAAAACAAACCCCTCAAATAGAGCCTGAATATGAACCAAGTGGGAGTTTAACTGAACCCGCTTTGAATAAGGATACTGTTCAGAGAGACAATGCAAATTTTTCTCCAGTTCAGGTAGAGAAACCAAAACATGAAGCAGAGTTGAAAGCCTCCATTAAGCGAAAGCCCTTAAAATCGAAGAAATCAAAAAAAGCAACATTTTACGAAGGAAGTGATGGGGATGATGATGAAAATGACGAAGATGATGCTCTGGCTTTCAAAATAAACTCTGGCGTTCTGAAATTAGAAAGGTCTCAGAAGGCAAAGGAGTTGTTGAAAGTCCGTGAGAACTTACCAATATATCAACACAAGGATAAGATTATTGACTACGTGACTAATAACCAGGTCACCGTTATCATTGGTGAGACAGGTTCTGGTAAATCCACTCAGATCCCCCAGTTTTTAATGCCATTAAACAAAAAGAGGGTTGCTGTTACTCAACCTCGTAGAGTGGCAGCTGCGTCTTTGGCAGCTAGAGTCAGTGAAGAATACGGTTGTGTTTTAGGTGAAGAGGTTGGTTACCAAGTTAGATTCTCCAATATCACGAGTTCCAAAACACAGTTGAATTATTTGACAGATGGTATGTTGATCAGAGAACTTATGCTTGATCCCAAGCTTTCAAAATATTCCACGATTATTATTGATGAAGCGCATGAAAGAACAGTCTTGACCGACCTCATTCTTGGTTTTTTGAAGCAACTCATTTCAAGTCGACAAAGAACAGACTTGAAGATCATTGTTATGTCAGCTACACTTAATGCGGAGCTTTTCAGCAAGTTTTTTGATTACGCTCCCATCCTCTTTGTCGAGGGTAAAATGTATCCTGTTTCCAGACATTATTTGAGCGAGTCATCCGAGGACGTTGTTGATACTATGGTGAAGGCTATAGTTCAAGTGAACATGTCAGAACAGGAGGGCGATATCCTTTGCTTTTTGCCGGGTCAAGAAGAAATTGACAACTGTGTGACAATCTTGAGTACTCTAGCTCCTCAACTTCCGAAAGAAGCGCCACTAATTGTTCCTTTGCCACTTTATGCTGCATTGTCTCCTGGACAGCAGCTGAAAATATTTGAAAAGCTTTCTGGCCGTAAAAGGAAAGTGATTATCGCAACTAACATTGCTGAAACTTCTATCACTGTTAGTGGAGTCAAGTTTGTCATAGATTCGGGTTTACGAAAGGTAAAGGTATGGAAACATCAATTGGGTCTTTCCACCTTGCTCACAACTCCTATTTCACAAGCTTCTGCTAAACAAAGAGCAGGTAGAGCAGGTAGAGAAAGTGCTGGTAAAGTGTTCCGTCTTTTCCCTGAGAATGTATTTCATTCCAAACTTCCGAAACAGCAGGAATCTGAAATCATGAGAAACGATGTAATTTTACCTATTTTAACTTTGAAGAAAATGGGTGTCGATGATCTTCTCAATTGGACTTGGTTAGAACATCCGGGCCAAGAAGCGATTATCAGTGCTTTGAATACTTTGTATTCTTTGGGAGCCCTAGATGATTCGGGTAAGGTCACTCCTTTGGGTTATAAGATGGCCATATTACCTCTTCCTCCTGCCCTTTCAGCTGTTTTGATTGGTGCTTCAGATTATGGTGTGCTACAAGACGTTATAGATATTGTCTCGTGTCTTTCGGTTGATAACCTCGTTCTCAATATCGGAGGCAATGGAGAATTGCGGGACGAAATAAATTACAAAAGAAGACAATATTGTCCGTTGGGAAATACCCTGGGAGACCTCATTGCTTTGAAAGAGTATTTTACCTACTTTGAAAAGCTTCATAGGGAGAAGAATATTTCTGAGTTGAAGATGTGGTGCAAGGACCTCTTTTTCAGCTACAGGGGCTTCATCAATGTTTTAAAGGTTAGAAGACAATTGACAGATTACATGATCACTACAATCAAACTGGATGATAGCTTGAATCAAAATGAAAAAGATGCACAATTGAAGAAGATGAAGGCACAACTTGCACTCCAATCATCAAACACGGAGTCCTCGGGTGAAGAGGAAGAAAACTTTCTTGACCTCAAACAGCTGTTGGACATCCCACTGATTCTTAAATCCTTCTTGAAAGGATACGCATTGAACACAGCTATTGGAATGCCAGACCGATCATTCCGTACATGTGCTACGGGTCAATTGATCAGTATTCATCCATCATCCAACCTTTTTGGTAAATCCAATCTCGATGCCATCATGTACATCGAGTATGTTTATACCGCCAAATCCTATGGGCGTAACTGCTCTCTGATTGAATTAAGTTGGCTTCAGGAGGTCGCACCCCACATTCTAGGTGGATCCAAAATTAGTATTACTGACTGAAGACTTCATTGCATATATATATATTTAAAGCATCCTATTCCACTACTGGATTTTTGTAGTCGCATCCTCACGTTTCGCTCCTTTGATCCACTAGATACCGGTGTATGTTCGCGCCATGACATCTTGAAATTTCACTGTTCACGAATTCTCAAAACTTCGACCTATGAGCGATGATGATCCTCTCCCTTTGTTAACACCATCTGAGGATTTCAACTACCTTGATTCTGAAGCCACAGATAATTTATTCTCCTGCTCCACACTTTACGCCTATGTTTTTGTGGGCATTACGTGGTTACTTTGTTTTGTATCCTTCACAGCCTTGTTTCTGTGGTGGAAATATATCTTCGAGCCGCTTTCTTGGAACCCAGCAACTAAAGGTCTCTATAAGTACCTTGTTTCGACATGTATGCTGTTCGAAAAGCATGTGATTACGTTTTGGTGTATTTACATTGGTGCCTGGTGGTGGGCATATGTTAGGTGGTGTGGATGGAAATTGTTCCGCCACTCCAAAGGTATTCAGACGTGATGCCGTCCGTCTATTTGTTGTCCTTCTGGAAAAAATACATGCTTTGCCTAATATGGTTGCTGTCTTTTTTCTGTCCTTTTCATTTTGGTCATTAGTCGTGCGTCTGATTATGTTGGCCATCTTCACCACGAGCTTTCGTCCATTCTGCGCTTCCGGTTTGTCTTCCTTGTGGTGACGAAGACGTTTTCAGGTGCACTATTGGTCTTCTATGATCAACTTCTTTGTTGTGGACCGAGATTACATCATAATACAATTTGAGGTATTTCTCTCGTTCACTAATATCAAGCGGAGCCACTTTGGTCAGCCAATAGTTGCGCAACAAATCGTGGTTTACTCTGCTCACGATACTCGTAACAATAGTCTCTTTAGCAATCGACAGTTTTGGGATCTGCTTCTCCTTCGTAATATATTTGCTGCTGAGGTCTATGATATAATCGTCCCCAATACCAAATACCCAACTCATCTTTTTCCCCCAATTCTCGCAATACAATAAAGGATTATCAAAGGCATTTTCGCACGGATCAAGATGGACATAGCGGTCTAACTTTGTGCTAAAGTACTCGCACCATACATGATCTTCTCTGTTCCACACATATCTAATGCGAGCCTCAGCTCCAAGGACCGCCTTCAATATAAGCATAAAACAGTTTACCCACTCGCCGCAGCGGCCCTTGCGTGTTTCCAAAAGTCTTCGAGCATTGTTTATTCTTGGAAACTCAACACTTCGGTTGCATTCTTTACACCAGTAGACTTCAATCTGACTTATTTTGTCAGGGTTGGGTGATGGAGGACCCTTTGCTCCTTTACCTTCAATATTGTCACCATCTTTGTGGCAGCTAGGACATTCTGGTTTGTTCACCCATGTAAAAAAGTCATTCTTGAAGTATTCAAGCACTTCAAGAACAATAAGATCTTCGTAACCTAAACCCGGATTCCGTTTCTCTTCCTCTCTCGCGTCTACACCTCCGTATATCTTTGAGAGGTTGATCGTCTCTAGCGCTGTGTCTAAATCTGACGCAATTGTATATCGTTTCAATTCCTCTTGAATGGAAATGACCAGTGAAAGCATTTGAGCTGTGGATTTGTCATTTATTCTTCGATTTCTGGGAGGATTTGCTTCAAGAGTCGCCTTCGCATAAGCAGCAATGAGCCTGTCTGCTAAATATTTGTAGTCTTGGTTCACACTCATGTTGTGCCGAGTGATAAATAGATGGGTTTCTCCGTTATAAGATCAATAATCGTGATTCGAAAAAAAACGACAACTGCAGGACTCGAACCTGCGCGGGCAAAGCCCAAAAGATTTCTAATCTTTCTCCTTAACCACTCGGACAAGTTGCCTTGTTCTGATAAATATTTTGCGGTATCACTATGTTTCCTTGTTTATTTTAATTAATTATGTTGAGCAGTTAAATGACACCTAAGCAATAAACGGCGTAATTATCAAAGGAGCAAATATTTCCCGTTATAATGTAAATTAAATGAGTGGTAGTATAGTACTTTATGAAATCTGTATTGCGCGCGCTTAATTAACATGCCATTTCGATTACCGAAAACAATTAGCTCTCCCAATGAAGAAACACAGCCCCAAGAAGAAAAGAGCGGTTCTGAATAAACACAATTCTGCTGTTCCAGTTACCCCATCGAACACTCTGGCTAAGACGGTTGCCAATCCTTTCTTGAAGTCGCCATTATATGACCTCTTGCGTGTCTTTGAAAGAGCGCCTGATCAATGGGCTGCTCGATACATTTTGATATTGACAGCAGTTATGTTGCGGAGTGCTGTTGGCTTAGGCCCATATTCTGGCCAGGGTGAAAAACCAATAAACGGAGACTTTGAAGCTCAGAGACATTGGATGGAAATTACCTCGCATCTTCCGGTTGATCAATGGTACTTTTATGACTTACAATACTGGGGTTTGGATTATCCACCTTTAACTGCCTATCATCTGTGGATTTTCGGGAAAATAGGAGGGTTCATCAATAGTGATTGGTTTGAGTTGGTCAAGTCGAGAGGGATAGAAAACTCGGGTATTAAAACTTTCATGAGATTTTCCAGCTTAATTAGCGATTTGTTGATATACATTCCAGCTGTTCTCCATCTCACATCCATTTTAAGCAGACACTTAAAATTGGGTAGGATGCATCAAATTGTCGTTCTTACGTTAATCTTATCTCAACCACCGCTCATTTTGATAGACCATGGTCATTTCCAGTATAACTCAGTCATGTTGGGCTTCTTCTTATTGTCTGTGGCTGAACTCTTGAATGGAAGTCTCGTTTTTGCATCTATATGGTTTATGAGCTCTGTGTTGTTCAAGCAGATGGCACTTTACTACAGTCCCTTTATTTTCTTTATCATATTGGCTAGACTATTCACACCATCGACAACAATTCCCAAAACCCTCACTTCTTTTAAATTTGGAAATTTACTCGCTGTTGGTCTCAGCGTCTTTCTCACAACTGTGGCCTCAGTTTCACCTTTCATCCTCACTTCTCTGACATGGACTGATGCATGTGTTTTGCTCAAACAGATATTAGTTAGGATGTTTCCGTTTGAGAGAGGCCTCTTTGAAGATAAAGTGGCTAATTTCTGGTGCACTACGAATCTCGTTGTGAAGTACAATAAACTTTTCACTAATTCCCAACTCAAAACTGCCTCCCTCGTGTTAACGCTTACGTTCGCATTACCACCATGTCTTTTATGTTTCAAAAAACAGTTGATCCAAAAGTCAACATCTCCCGCTTTAGTTCTTTATGGCTTTAGTGCATGTGCATGGGCTTTCTATCTTTTTCTGTTTCAAGTCCACGAGAAAACAGTGTTGGTACCATTGATTCCATCGACGTTTTTATTGGTCACTAAAGATCGTGATACCATTTCAATAATACATTGGATTAACAACATCAGTACGTTCAGCTTATTTCCTCTTTTGAAAAAGGACGGTTTAGTTTTACAGTATGGTGTTACCTCTCTATTGATTAATTGGTTGATTGGTGGATTCACTCTAAAAAGAAAGAACAACCTTTTGTGGCCGCACAATCTGTCTATTTGCTTGAAACTTATAATTGGACTTTCCTACTTAGCGATCATCGTTTTTCACATAATTGACTATTCCATTCCAGCTCCAGTTAGATACCCCGACCTATGGGTTATTGCTAATACGACTATCTCCTTTGGGTGCTTCGGTACATTCTATTTGTGGCTTCTTCATAAAGTGTATTATCTTTAAAGATTACAGTTTGGTACCACTGTGTTTTTCTTTGGTTTCCCGTCTGCAGCAAAAACTCCCCAATCTGCTACCCATTGTTTACGATGTCCACTGAAAACTCTTTTCACCAGAGGTAGATCAAAAGCCTCGAAGTAAAACCAATGCACGTTTAATTTTGGACTGTCTTCGCAAACCCATGCGTTCATGAACTCTTGAGCAGCAAAGGCGCCGGATGGTGTGTCTTCGTAGTAGGGCCATCCAATCTCACTTATAATGAGCGTAGTGTTGAAACCACTGAAGATATTCAAATCTGGGTAGAGGGTATCTACGACCCACCGTGATGCTTCTCGAGGATCTAACTCAGTTAAAAACGGATGAACATTGATTCCCACCACTTGAGATTCTGCGATTAGTTCAGGAGTGATTCTAGATCTAATCTCAGATGTACCAACAGGCACAGCAATTCCAATGCTCTTTAGGAACATTTGTATATCCTTAATGCATTCAATAAGTCGTTCTTCAGATAGGTCTTCTCTGAAGAGAACCTCGTTGCCCATGAGAATATTCTCGAAGTACCGAGGGTGATTTCTTAGAAGTGTCTTCGTTTCACGAATTCTAGCTTCGTTTGCTTTTTCGTCCTTGGATAGCCAGACACCCAAGGTAATTTTCATATCCAAGTCCAATAAGTCAATTGCCTCTATAATTATGTTAATGAAATTACATTCCGTTCCATATGTCCTTAGACTGTTTGTAACTTGGGAGAGCATAGTCATGTCTTTTAATGCTTGTTCAAGTGTATACACGCAAGCTTCGATTTGAACAACAGACGGGGAATATGATAATCCTTTTAAAAAACCCGTATTGTTGGCTTCAATACCAGCAACACCTATTGTACCATGTTGATGATTTCTTGTTAAAAGTTTTTTAGCCATGTCCACTTTGGCATATGGTGATAGAGCATTAAAATGGTTCCAAAAAGATAATTCTGATCCCCGAATTGAAAAGTATATGGCTGGAATTAGGCAACCAGTTAAACTTAAAATTGCAACTAGCATCATGAATATCATCCATCTAGAAACTTTAGGCGTTCTTCGTATTTCCACAACTTTATTTGCTGCAGAATCCAATTTCTCCATTTTATTCTTGGACAGCATTGCTTCTGAGCTGTACTCATTCTTCGTGAGCGAAGGCGAATGGCTTAAAGGCAGAATCGCATCCAATTGGGAATAAGCCATTATCGCAAAAGGCTGTCCGTTGCCTTCTTCTATTCTGATTTTATCGTATCCTCCAATATAAGGTGTATTGTTAACAGCATCGCTCGTCAGTAAAGTACTCGTAGTCTTGGATGAAGACAAGGTGCATCTATTATTCTTTACAGAAGATCCTTTGTCGTTATAAATAATTTCCTCGACATGACTAACACTTGGGAACTCAATGATGCTGATATTCAAATTATGGTTTGTGCGCAAAACATTCTGTCGTCCACTATTTTCGCTCGAGTCAGAACATTGCTGTAAATCCAGACAAGAGGAACCATGAAGAGTCCCGTCCCCAGTATATTCATATGACATGGTGTTTTCCTTCTGAATTGTCGTATCGGGCATCTTTGTGGTTGATGGGTGCAAAATCGATAGCGCACCAACGACGCATTATCATGGATGTCACGTGTACCTGCTCGCCTGAAGATGCACCGCATATAAAAGCAGTTCAAGCTTGAGATCAATAGGACGTTGTTTCATTATTCACGTGAATCTTCTATATTTTTAAAGCAGTTGGTATGCCTTTTAAAGTGACTCGTTGTAATCTCAAATTGGTATTTGGACCACAGGTTCCTGGTATGTGTACGAACCATAAATTATGCACAATTGCGTAGATGTTCTTGACACTAACAAGCATGAGATCACCAAAAACTGAACTCACCCTATTCATTTCTATCACTTCTCGGGCCAGCAAAAGGAAACCCTTATGAGCTAGTATGTGGCACTGCATGAATGGTTTGCTTTTACTTCGCCGGCTTTGCCTAGTGGAAAACGGAAGGCAGAAATATTCCATGTGTGTACTGCGTATAACACGCAGAAAGGAGGTGGGCCTGCACATGTATGCGATTGTTCATCGAAGATCGATTTTTGCGAGTGGAATCTCCATGCAAATCTCAAAACAACGGGAGGTTTCGGAGAGTAAACATGTGTATCGTTTAAGTCATCAACAATTTGTAAGGAGTCGTAGATAATTATAGAGAGAATGAAGGTGAGCAACATAAACCATCTACAAATATCAAATGCAATATGTTGATTCTGGACCTGGCCAGCATAACTATAATCTCGGAACCTAGCACTTGCAACAAGCGAAGCAAAGATTACCAACGAATGCCGCCAAACTGCTCAAGCAGCCCTCGCCCGACAGAGGACAGCAGGCGTCACATGCACCAAAGCAAATAAACAAGTCCATGCAAAACTCTGTACACTCATTGCTATCTCTCTGGTAGCCCGACGCATCATCGTTGAAAGTGGAAAGACTCGTCCGTGCCTCTTTCATAGACGCGGTCTCTGGCTCAGTTGTGATGGTATTGTCTTGATTAGGAGCATGGTATTGTTGTGGCTCTTCCGACATGATGAGAGTAAATTGTGAACGTAGTCAAATGGAGATGACGTAGCCAGACCTTTAAATACTTCGTGGAAACAAGGTAATAACGAATATGTTAGGGATCCGTGTTTTCAACGTCTCAACAGAATCAGCTGTGTTATCCAGGTTGCGGGATCAAGTCTGATCTATTTGGCAAACTCAAAGCAAACAAGAAATGGTGTACCTTTTTTTTTTCTCTCATTGAGCCGTGCGCATGCACAAGAGTTTGTTTTCACTAAGCAGGAATGTACCCTGTATATCGGTCAAGCGAACATATTTGCCGTTCGCCTATGGGGAACTCTCTCTTGTCCGAGAAGCTTGAGCTCCTTCAAATCTACTATCCGGATTATCTGACAACGTTCCTAGAAGAACTTCTTCATAGCTGTGACGATGATGTGGAAAAGACAAGAGCCTTGATCGAGGGACCGCAACCTCGAAAGAGATCCAATCTATACCAGAGATCCATCTTCAGTCACATCAAGCGAAGGAAAGAATGCAAAGACGACCAGGGTTTCACAAGTTTTCTGACTAAGTCTTATGCGTCTCGTGTGATCACCTTATATACCCCAGAAGACGTAGAGAGACACCTTGGTAATTTCGCGTCGTTTTACCCCAATTTTCTTCCAGAGAAACTTTCCAACGAGCTCTTGCATGATCTAAAAACTAATCTATCCTCTTATAAAGCGAATGAATTTTACCTTTTCGGAAACCATTGCGTTCTGAATCATTCGGTGGCAGTTTTTTCAGAGTATTCCAAAGCTAAACTCGACTTAATATACAATGGATTGCTAATTCGAAACCCAGTTCCTTATACTAATAGTTTTTCCAAAGCTGTGCAGTTACTACAAGATTTCTTAAACGATACAATCATTCCTCAAGCTGAGCCTCTTCCGTTTCAAAGGCGTGAAAAGTGGGCAGCAGAATACTGTCTAGTTAACTATTATGAGAAGTTACTGAACAACTTGGATTGGCATTCAGACCGTCTTTCGCACATTGGTCCTCACAACTACATCGCCTCTGTCTCTCTTGGATGTACCCGCTTATTTCGCTTGCGTAGTAACCACAAGAAAAATGCTCCCATTTTCGAAATTCCTCTTCCACACAATAGCTTATTGATAATGCGACCGGGGTGTCAAGAGGAGTATAAGCATTGTGTTAATTCAATGCTGAAGTCAGTTGCACTTCATCCTGAAGTAGGTTCGACCAGATTCGGGCTCACATTTCGGCATTACCCGCCAGAATTTATCAAGAATTCTCCTCGTTGCAAATGTGGACTTGGCATGACCCTCAGGCGGGCATTCAAATCTGTGGATACAAGAGGTCGTTACTTTTGGCTGTGCGAAAACAAGTATCAGAACAAAGACTGTGGGGACTTCCATTGGGCGGATTTTACCAATGAACTGAATCATTACGTTGCGGAGGACTTGTCACAAGTTTCAACATGGGTTTCGCCTGATGATGTTGAGAAGATAGAGTATGATAAGAAGGAAAAATAATGTAGGCTGGAAATACAAGACAACTATTTTGCCAATGTCGGTCTAAAAAATACGACAACTCAGATGTTCTAAATGTATGCATAAAGATGGCAAAAAGTTAACGACAACTGCAGGACTCGAACCTGCGCGGGCAAAGCCCAAAAGATTTCTAATCTTTCTCCTTAACCACTCGGACAAGTTGCCTTCTATACCGATTTGTATGACATATATATATATGTCGATTGACTCTTTGCGTTAGCTTTCTTTAGTCTTTATTGTGGAACATATGTTAGCTGAAGTCATTTTCGTCAAAATGTACTAATGGTTTTTTCTCCATATACAGATTCGCTTTGAAATTAGACACTTTGCATTGTGGTCACGTGCTCCTATTATGAATATCAATATGTTCTATTTACGTCATAGCCCATCATCATGCTGTTCCACTGTCAACAATGCAATGCCCCAATTGCATTGGACAGCTCACTCGAAAGCTTGACTAAAGGGCAGATGGATATTTTGTTAAGAAAGAGCGAGAAAATGAACGAAATTCCCAAACCAAAGCCAACATCATATATTCCTGAGGATCGCCTAAACCTAGCTATTAAAGCTCTCTCTTTGGGTAATAATGATCCACATATATCCTTGGATTTCACTGATTCTGAAGATAGTACAAGTGAGTCGAAACAAACTTATGTTTACGTCTCAGATGGCGAAACGGAGACTGACATTGCTAGGAAAGATCTGAATGCTGGTCATATCAGTGATCCTCAGGAAGAATCCGAACTTTATGGCGATGGTCAGCTTCCAGAATTCTCCAAAGTAAAATCTTTGAGTAGAGTTTTTTCTGTGTTGTCGTCAAATCAAGATGTTAACTTTCCCATGTGTTTGGATTGTGCTCAACTTTTGAGTGAAAATTACAAACTAAAGTTTGATCAGAGCCAACGAGAGAAAGAATACTATATGACTTTCTTGAAAAAAATGAAGGAAAGAGAATTCTCCATGGATATGACTGGAGACGCAATGAACACTGTGATGAATGATTCAATTAACGAACTACGGCAACTTGAACAACTACAGGATTCGAAATTGAAAGAGTTAGAAACTCTTGAGTCCACTTACAGCGATTTAAATACCCAACTCAATAGTCTATCTCAAGAACTAGATAATCTTAACGTGGGCAAATTGGAAGAAGTGGCCAAATTGAGGAATTCACTTAACCTAGAGTTGTCGGTCAAGCAGAACAAGTTTGACAAAGCGAAAGCGTTATATCAGAAGCAGTTAGATTACCTTGATGAGTTGCGCTCGCTCAATATCTATACCAAACTCTTTTCTATTCTGTTTGAGGATAAATGGGGCCGCATCAACGGGTTTCGCATTGGCTACAAAGTTCCTTGGCCGGAAATAAACGTTGCTCTCGGACAAATTGTCCAGCTTATTACTTTCCTACAAAAACAATTATCTGTGAATCTCCACTCTTATGAATTGATACCTTTGGGGTCCAAATCGTACATACTCAAAGATGTTGTTGGCTCCAATGATAGCACAGGAAACCTGCCTTCGAAAAATCATTCTGTACTTCCACTATTTTCGTCTAATGAGTTTACTTTGGGAAAACTCTTCAACTTCAATAAGTTAGATGTTTCGATGATGGCATTGTTGGATATCGTATCGCAGCTCGAACTTCGATTAATGAACTTGGACAATGAACTCGAACTACCATACAAAATTTCTGCGAAACATGATTCAGTTGGGGGAAAGAGTATTCGTGTTACATCCAATGGACAATGGACGGAAGCTTGTCGGTACTTGCTTATTGACTTAAATTGGATTCTTGCGTATGTCAGTGCACAATGAAAGATATAGCAATAAAGGTTGTTAAAATATCTCCTTTTTTTTTCTCCTTTGGCTTCTTCTTTTTCTTCTTCGCTATCCTCTTTATTTCTTAAATGGTTTTTGAATCTTTCTTAATACGCATGATTTTGTTGTAAATGAGTTCTCAATTCACTTTTTCGCAGCTTCTAATGAAAACCAGACGGAATTGCAAATACTCCTTTTTTTTTTTCTACAAGCAAAACTTAGACTTACCACACACATAAATCTTCAAGAGTTGGATTTAGAATGTCCGAAGCGATGCTCGATGAGAAAGGTACTATGTTCCAGCATTGAACAAAATGAACTACAGGTGAAAATGGCACATTTTCCATCTCTGCCACGAGAAACGAAGACAGACGAACATTTAACACACGTCCCTTTTAATAGTGACCCGAGTCTTTCAGATTTCCTCACATCTGATGCTTGTGACGACGGGCAGACTCTATTAGAATTGGCAGCCATAGCTAAGCGATCTTCATTATTGGAGGTCAGTCTGTACGTCGCGCAAAAAGTATATTCAAATGCAGGCAAGATCCTTTTTGATAGCACCACCAACGAAGGAGAGTGTCCTGAACTGCCCAATTCAAATAGGAAATCTAAAGAAAGAAGGCGAAGCAAAAACCATAGGTCCCGAAGAGGATGTTGGACTTGCCGATTGAGACACAAGGCCTGCCCTGAGGATGGGAATCCATGTGGAGCATGTTCAAGGTTAAATCTTCAATGCGACACGGCTATTTGTCGGCCTAAATACATGCAGGATACCAGCCTCGCAGCTGAGCGCCTACGAGAAATCCGACTCATCACTGATAAGGTTCGAGGCCGATACGAACGCACTCCTACGAAAAGGAAAAGCCAGGGGTGGGGCAAACACTCCTATTCCACCTCCACTCGTAGAATAAAATGATGACCTCTTTTTTTTCCAAGTGTAGAAAAGCGTAGAATCTACCTTAAATTCAATACTTACGATCCTGCATCTGCGAATTCAATCGCGCCCTCTCACGATCAACGCACTTTTACGCCGAACAAATCCCTTCGTCTTCTAAAAGAAAACATTGATGAGATCAGCCTGGGCAGCACTATTGTTCGCATTCTGTTGGATAGGACTTGCGAAGGCATTTTACTTGCCTGGAGTCGCTCCCACGAACTATAAGGAGGGCGATGATATCCCCTTGTATGTGAACCATTTGACGCCATCACTGCAACATTTGATTGATGCTCATAACAAAGGCAAAGGCAAATCGAAAACCGCAATCTATGCCTATGACTATTATTATCCAAAGTTTAAGTTTTGCAAACCTAAGGATGGTCCCGTCAAGCAGCCAGAATCCTTAGGTGCGATCATCTTTGGTGACCGTATTTTCAATTCCCCATTCGAAATCCAAATGTTGAAGCCCAAAACTTGTCAGACTTTGTGCATACCAGAATATTCCAAAAGCGATGCCTCATTTATGGCAAGAAAAATCCGCGCTGGGTACACTTACAACTGGATCATTGATGGCTTGCCAGCTGCCAGAACTGTGAGAGAACGGAAGACCAACTCTGACTTCTACTCTCCTGGTTTTCCAATTGGAGCTGTCGATGAGAACAACAATGCTCAATTATACAACCACTTCAACATAAAGATAGAGTATCACAAGAGAAAGGACAACAATTTGAGAGTTGTCGGCGTGACTGTGGAACCAGAATCTTTCGATAGACTGAAGCTCGACCTTAAAGCAAAACCGGAAGAGGTTTGTAACTCAGATTTGAAAAAGGCTGTTATTGCGAAGGATAAGGAGGTCAAAGTTTGGTACACTTACAGTGTCGAATTCATCGAATCAGACACCGCATGGGCAACGAGATGGGACAAGTACTTACACGTGTACGATCCTAAAATTCAATGGTTGTCGTTAATTAATTTCACTTTGGTTGTCTTGATTTTGGCCGCTGTTATGGTACAAATCTTGGTCAGTACTTTGAAAAATGATATTGTAAAGTATAACGAAGTGGACTTGGATGCGGATGTTGCATACGATAGTGGCTGGAAACTTGTTTACGGTGATGTTTTCAGGTCTCCTTTCCAACAGAATGTTGTTGTCGATCTTAGTTGGAAGTGGTGTTCAATTGTTTTGCATGGCCCTAGTAACGATCATATTTGCATTGCTTGGATTGTTGTCCCCTTCAAATAGAGGTGCGTTGTCAACCTTTATGTTCATTTTCTACATTCTTTTTAGTGTGATCTCGTCATACGTGAGTGGGTACATTTATAGGTTTTTCGGTGGTGAGGATTGGAAAACCAACATGATTTTGACACCCATTCTCGTGCCAGGAATCATGTTCTTGGGTTTTATTTTCTTGAACTTTTTCTTGATTTATGCCAACTCCTCAGGAGCTATCCCAGTTGGTACCATGGCAGCAATTATCCTCATATGGTTTGTCATTTCTGTTCCTTTGTCAATCGTTGGTTCGCTCTGGCAATCAAGAAGATCTGTGTTTTCCGTCCCAGTCAGAACAAACCAGATCCCTAGGCAAATTCCTTCCCAACCATGGTACTTGAGAACAGTTCCTGCTATGCTCATTGCAGGTCTCTTCCCATTTGGGTCAATTGCAGTGGAATTGTACTTCATTTTCTCATCTCTTTGGTTTAACAGAATCTTTTATATGTTTGGATTCTTATTCTTCTGCTTTGTGTTGATGATCATGACTACAGCTTTGGTTTCCGTCTTATGCATTTATTACACTTTGTGCAGCGAAAACTACAAGTGGCAGTGGAAGTCGTTTTTCATTGGCGGCGGTTGTGCAATTTATGTCTTCCTTCATGCGCTTTACTTTTTGAAGGGCGAAAAATTAGGTGACTTTACGTCGTTCATGTTGTTCTCTGGATACTCGGCGATCATCTCACTTCTCGTCTTCATTGTATGTGGATCCGTCGGCTTCTTGAGCAACCTACTTTTCACAAGAAAGATTTATTCCCAAATCAAGATCGACTGATTTGAACAATTCCACATAAAACGTTTATTTAGGCAATTGTATAATCATGTATCGATAGACTTTGTAGTTGCTTCAATAAATGGTGACCAAAAGATCAGTAAGTGGAAATTCAATACCAACCCTCGCTATCATCCGTCAAAAAGAATGGAAAAATCGATTCAAGGTACTCCCCTTTCCATACGTCAATGTTTTTCTTTTTAATCCCAAGACTGACATCAACTGGAGATGGGCAATTGCTAAAATCTAGTTTCAAGAGCTCAACCTTTTTAGATATCATACTGATGGAGGCAAATCCCAAGCACTTCAGGGAGACTTGTTCAGAGGTAGACGAAAGGCCAGGTGTTCCACCACCAAATCCCCTGGAGAAGGTAGCACGGAGATTTTTCACAACATTATAGTTGTTGTTAAGATTGCTCATCAAAAGATTATACGCAATCGATAAGTCTTGATTGATCTTAACGGATCTAGAAACCAATTCACCATCGCTAGCATGGGTGAAGAAGGAATCAATCAAGAGCTTGCAGCACTTGATCAATTTGAATGATTGCGCGTAACTCACATTAAAAAAGGGACTGAGGAGATCATTACCCATGGAAAGAGATGCTTGTTGTTGTGAGTAAATGGTTGACACATAATTCGCAAAACTCAAAAGCGATTGTGACAATTTTTTCACCAACCTTGTGATTTTTAACTGGTGCTCGATGATGGTTTCATAAATGTCGTCATCAAAATTGCTTGCAGGCAAACACTTCAAGTAATCGTACAATTGCATCAAGAAATCATAAAGCTCACATTTGTCCTTTAAAAGATTGACAAAGAAAAGAGAATAGCTGCGCGGATGTAGCTTTGATCGTACGTAATCAAAGGAAGGATCCAAATGAGAGTATCTTCTTGTTTGGGCAGGTACAGAGAGGACGCTCTTTCTTCTATCATTAACCAAAATGTGAAATATTTTTGCCATTTGAACATTGCTAACAAAACATGATGATGTATTGGGAGGGATTAATCTGGATAAGTTGTCGTATAGCAAGTCAAAAGAATCAGGCAAAAATGATTGGCATCCAAAACTGAGACTAAAACAATTATCAATGATGAACAATGATAAGTAAAGTCGAGGTAGATGAAGCCTAATGTCATCTGGATTCAACAGATCTGCATTATTCCGTAAAAGTTCGGCAAAATTTTCCATCACCTTGAAGTCCGTTAAATACAGCCGCAGCATTGAAATAAGCCATAGAGTAAA